GGATTCTTTTGATACGCGAAATGGTGACCAAACTTCCAGATGCCGGAAATCTTTCTGCATTCAGACCTTTATGCTCGGAAGATGAGAATGTAGATTTTTTTAAATCTATTGTTCACATTCAGGTAAACTATTTTATCATAGGATTACTTGAATCCACGATTTGTATTCGAGCTGTGGTGATGATTGAAGTTGATATGATAACCACACAGTGACCAAAACCACTTCTGATTTTTTTGTCTTATTTGTCCCTCTAACTCAATCTTACGATTGATGATTGATTTCCATTCTATTTCTTGTAGGCACACCGTAGAGCAAGGGCAATTTCACGTTTTACAAATGTGGTCAAAGATAGCAGTCTGCCTGAGGTGATCCCTTGAGTTTCTTATATTTTTAAATGCAACTTCTGTACTATAAAAGACTTATGACTAAATGTTGGTGTTGCAGGGAATAGTGAGAAAACTTTTTGTCTCGGTCTTTTTCAATATGTTGCTCGATGGGCAAGACGGAAAAGATAATAATGTCCGAAATGCATGCACAGAAGCCCTTGCATCTGTATCTGCACATATGAGTTGGAAGTCGTACTATGCTCTATTCAATCGGTGTTTTCGCGAGATGAACAAGCATCCCAGAAAGGGAAAACTCCTGCTGCGACTTATCTGCTTGATTTTGGATAAATTTCATTTTTCAGAAGATAGTTACCCGCAGGAGGCGGATGAAATTAAGACTTGCCTTCAGAAAATTGTGTTCCCGAAGATGCAGAAGCTGATGAATTCTGATTCCGATAACGTAAATGTTACCAGCAGTGTGGCTGCACTGAAGGTTCTAAAACTACTCCCTGAAGATGTAATGGACTCAAACCTGTCCTCGATAATTCATAAAGTTGCCAGTTTTTTGAAGAATCGATTGGAGAGCATACGTAATGAAGCCAGATTGGCTCTGTCGGCTTGTTTGAAAGAACTTGGGCTGGAGTATTTGCAAGTTGTAGTCAACGTTTTACGTGCTATCTTAAAACGAGGATCTGAGGTGCATGTGCTGGGGTACACACTCAATTTCATCTTATCAAAGTGCCTGTCCAAATCTACATGTGGGAAGTTAGATCATTGTTTGGTTGATCTCCTTGCTGTGGTAGAAACCGATATCCTTGGAGAGGTGGCTGAACAGAAAGACGTTGCAAAATTCGAATCCAAAATGAAAGAAACAAGAAAACGGAAGTCATTCGAGACTCTGAAACTGATTGCTGAAAATGTAACGTTCAGAAGCCATGGATTGACTTTACTCTCTCCGGTCACTGCTCAGCTGCAGCGGCATCTATCTCCGAAAATCAAAACTAATCTGGAGAAGATGTTAAAACAAATTGCAGCTGGTATTGAAGGCAATCCATCTGTTGACCAAGGAGATCTTTTTGTTTTTATATATGCCCGTGTTGATGATGGTATTAACAACAGGAATGGTCTTGAAGATCAAGTGTCTTTTCCTCCATCCAAAAAGAAAAAGAAATCAAGAGATTCGAAAGAGACTGCTGGGTTAATTTCTGGTGCTAAGTCATGTCCACATCTTATAACTGTGTTTGCTCTTGACCTGTTGCATCACCGAATGAAAAAATTGAAATGCGACAACACTGATAGAGAGCTATTGTCCAAGTTAGATCCATTTGTCAGACTACTTACTGGATGCTTGAGTTCTAAGTATGAGGATATTGTATCTTTATCTCTTAGATGTTTTACTTCACTAATAAGGTTTGCGCTTCCTTCCCTCATGTCTGAAGCAGATGAAGTAAAAACAGCATTGTTAACCATTGCTCAGTCTGCAGTGAGTTCCAGCAGTCCACTTGTGCAGTCATGTCTTAAGCTGTTAAAAACGCTTCTCGGCAACAAGTATATAACTTTATCATCTGAGCAGTTGACAATGTTGGTTCAGTTCCCCATGTTTGTTGATCTGGAGTCTGACCCATCCTTTGTTGCTCTTTCACTCCTCAAGGCAATCGTGAAACGGAAGCTTGTAGTTCCAGAGATATATGACATTGCTACTCAGGTTTCAGAATTGATGGTAAAAAGTCAGTTGAAATCAATCCGCAAGAAATGTCAACAGATATTGTTGCAATTTATGGTCCACTATACACTCTCTGAAAAACGTTTAGAGCAACATGTGAACTTTCTACTGGAAAATCTGAGGTACGTATGTTCACAGTGAGAAATCTATTTGGCTTTTATTTTTCTTATACTAATAGAACTTGTCCTTCAGGTATGAGCATTCAACTGGAAGAGACGCAGTTCTTGATATGCTTCATGCGCTAATCTTGAAATTCTCAGAACCTAATCTCGGCAAGCAGTCGGTTCTTGACCAGCAGTCGAAAACATTGTTCCTTCAACTTGTTCTTTGTTTGGCAAATGATGTTGATAAAGAAGTGCGGTTCCGGGCTGGTGCTGTGATAGAAATTCTGATAGGCCGCATGAGTACAGATCAAGTTGAATCCAGTCTCTTGTACTGTTTGTGTTGGTATAAGCAGCAGAACTTACGGGCTTCTGCAGCACAGGTAAATGCTGAGTGTTTATGTTCTTATTGAACTCTTTGTCACAATAGTTAGATGTCAGACATATGCAAGAAACAGGAATAACAAGTTGTGTTACCTAAAGTTTTTTTCTTAGTGAATTTATGGTTGTAACATCTTCAGCATCCTAATTTCGTTCGTATTGCATGTAGGCCCTTTTTTGTAGACTGTTCCTTGCTTCTTGCGTAATTTAAATTTAATCATTTGTTGGATGCTGTACAGGTGTTGGGATTTTTTATTGACACGATGAAGAAAACATTTCGGAAGCATATCTACAATACAGTGCAGGATGCTAAAACGATTTTGGAGTCTGCTGTTAATGCTTCTAGCTTACAGCTGCAAGACACTGTGGAGGAAGGCAGTCTTCCTTATTGGAAGGAAGCATACTACTCACTGGTTATGATTGAGAAGATGCTCGAGCAATTTCCTGATTTATGTTTCGGAAAAGATTTAGAGGTATGCATTCAGTCATATGATAATAAATGTGGTTTATTGCTGCAGTAGACTTCTGAAAAGTACTTGCCTTGTCAATAAATCATGAAGCTCTGACACACACACACATATATATATATATATATATACTTTTGATAGTTATTAATTATTCCCGTTTTGAAGAATATAGTACCATTGATCTTGGTTTGTTGTTGAATCTTGAAAGAGAGTTCTCCAGATCAGTAAAGTACTGCTTTAGCTTTATTATCAATGACTATCTTGGACTTGGTAGGGAATTTTTCCTTCTGAGCCTGTCAGTTGTATTTTTTTGTTGTTGTTGACTGTTTCCCCTTTTTCGGCTGATAGAAATTGGGGCTCAATATTTTCTGATGTATTTTACAGGATATTTGGAAAATGATAATTAAGTTCTTGTTGCATCCACACGCATGGTTGCGAGATATATCCTGCCGGCTTCTAAATCGTTATTTTGTGGCATTAGCTGGGAAGAGAAGAGCAAAATCTCAGACATTAGTAGCCGGTTCTCTTTTAGAGAAGCCAAGTAGGCTGTTCATGGTGGCTGTTTCTCTTTGCTTCCAGTTAAAGGAGCAATCCACCAGGGCCAACGTTGATGTTGATCTCCTCACAGCAAATATTGTTTTTGCGGCCTCTAGTCTTCATTCTCTTGTTGGAAAATCTGATCAAGCAACTCACAGTGGGTTCTGGTCCAGTCTTGACGAGGATGAGCAAGTGGCGTTCCTCAAAGCCTTTGAAGTGCTTGATTCAGGGAAAGGAAGGTCTACTTTTTTGGCTCTTACTTCAGGCAAACATACTGAGAATGGTGAAGATGATGTGAATGATGTAAGAAATGTATTGATTGGAAGTTTGCTCAAAAGAATGGGGAAGCTTGCTCTTGATTTGGAGTCTGTTCAGGTTTGCGCCATTCTCTTTTCAAACTAAACCTTTACTTTTGCAGGCTATAGTAACTAAAATTTTAATTTTTCACATTTGCTTGTGATACATAGATGAGAGTTGTGTTCAACGTCTATAAAGCTTTTACCTCACAAATGAATCAAGAAGAATGTCGCTTATATGCCTATAAAATTCTGCTTCCGTTGTACAAAGTCTGCGAAGGATTTACCGGAAAAATCATCACAGGTAATATAAGTTTCTTTTTGTGTAATCCCCTCTGCAGACATGGTATCTTTGTCATACATGTAACAAAACATTATGGTTTTCTCAGATGAGTTGAAACAGCTAGCAGAAGATGTACGAGACAGTATAAGGGACAAGAGTTTAGGCAACAATTTGTTTGTGGAAGTTTACAGTGAAATAAGAAACAGTTTGAGAACGAAACGAGAGAAGAGAAAGCGAGAAGAGAAGCTAATGGCAGTGGTAAATCCAGAGAGAAACGCCAAGAGGAAACTGAGATTAGCTTCAAAGAATAAAGCAAACAAGAAAAGGAGAATGACGAGCATGAAATTGTCTAGATGGGCTTGCTCTTGAAACCCTTTAATGAAATTTTTTGTTAAATCTTATAGAAATCAGAGATGACTAACTTTGTGAGTCTGCTACCATGTTTTCAATGAGCATAGTTCTAGTGAAATTTCTCAATCATTTTTGATCTATTTTATCTAATAGACTTTGCGTTCAAAGAAGATGATATATGGCTTTGGCCTTTTCACTCTTCTTCATCTGTTTTCTTTTTTACTTTTCATAAAGATAAAAGACTTTTCACTCTTCCTCATTCTGTTAAAACATTAACTCCTAAATTACATTATATTCAAAAGTCGGTTGAAAAATGATGTGAGATTTAAAATGCGAAAGCAACTGCAAACTTATCGTGACTATTTGAATTTAGGGAATTAACTAGTCATGTTCATCCACTAATCTTTCTTCCGTGTACGATGTGATGTGATCTCATCTTTAATTATTTGTTCCATTAAGAAATAATTTTTGGGTGTGTGTGTGTGAATATGACATGTTCTTCATCATCATGCTAATATGCTGCAGTCTCTTACCACCACTTAAAAAAAAACAAAAAAGAGAAGAACCTTAACAGTTTCAATCTAGAAAAAAAGAGGCATGAAGCAATCGTCATGGGGTTGTACAATCTTCATACAATTATCTCTCTGTCTCATCGTCTATGTGTCTCTGCATTTGGGTCACCCATTCTTCTCTAGTAATAACGACGGTGGCAATGCCGCACCTCTAGATCTTTATTTCATCTCCGTCGCCGGAGGAGGTTTCAGGCCTCTTCACCACCAAACTCGCCTTCTCCGATTGGTTTGTTTCTTCTCATCTTTTTCCGTTTTTGGTTGGGAGCATGAAATTTGTTGTCGTCTGTCTCTGCAATTTATCTAGTTATTTAATCCATTGGTTTCAGTATCAAAGTTTGGTTCTTTATAGATTTTCAAGCCTCCTCAGATCCACAAATTTGAGTTTTAAGGTCAAAACATGATCTTGTACTTATTTTGTTACCGTTTGATCGATGAAGATGGAGAAAGCTGCAGAAACTTACAAGGCAAAATTTGTGGTAAGCTCAAGTGAACTTGGAGAAAAAGATCCACTCCTGCAAAATGTCAGTTCTTAAGCTTAATTTTGGATTTTGGGGGTTTATTTGTTGTGCCTCCTTGATTAGGCAGAAAAGTTCTGAATCTCTTTCGTTGAGTAGTTAGTATGAGTAATGAGTGTAGTGTATTGATCTTTCGCAGGCGACTCGAGTGTCTTCCTCACTGAAACTTCCATGGTAACTTGATCCTGTGGAAGAAGACTAATCAATTCGTATGGTTAGCTTAAGTTCTGTTGATGTAACAAGAAGACTAATAAATTAGATGCGTTTTAGGTACACTATAAAGAAAGGATCCGGATATTCCAGAGAGCGCATCGCAATGCCTTTTGGTGGATCCTTGGATGTTGTTTTCCTAGACATTGGTTCATTGCAGCAGGTAGAATCAGTTTGTTTTTGTTAATTTGACAGAAAGTTTGTTATGCTTCTTTTGATTTATTCGCTTCATTTATCTGATTGATTGAAACTGAAGGAAGTGCTCGGTGGATCATTAAATGGCCCCACGATCAGCCAATTGAAAGGGCTAACAAGGATTCTTAAAGCAGCAGATGGAGACTGGTAAGTTGGTTATTTCAGCGCATATACTCTCTTGATCTCTCAAGAACTTGTAGAAAATACTGCAACAAGTGCTCTGTCACTTTTTGTGACCCATTTTGCTCTCTGCTCTTCAAAATCTGTCCAATGAGTTAAGTTATCAATAGTTGTTCTTGATACAGGCGTATTGTTGTTGGATTACACCCGTTACTCGCCTATACTGTAACTAAAGAAGCCAAGGAAGTTGCAAGGACATTTCATGAAATCATGACCAAATATGGAGTGGTAAGACATTGAAATATATTCCATTGTATTGCTGAGAAATTTGATGGAACATATCAAAGTTTATGATTAATCTGAGAGGACAATTTTTGATGGTACAAGAACTTATATATAAGCGAAAAAGGCTGCACCAGCGGAGGCAGGAATGAGAGCCCTGCATGCATAACGGTTCCTAGTCAATCAGAGAACCGAGGTCTAACGTATGATAGTAAGAGGTAACAAGATCTCTTATGACATTATTAATCATAAACTATGAAAGCTCTATCTTAATGTCTGAGAGAAATGCATAATTTTATGTCAGAGAAATGGAAGATGGGTTTCTTATTCACAGAGTTAGCTTCTCAGAGTTTGTAAGTAGTTTCTTCCACTACATTCTTTCTTCTGATAAGATATGTTTTCAAGACCAAAAAAAAACATAACAAAGGTGAAATAATGTCTTCTTTGTTTATCATAAACAGGTTACTTATACTATCAACGCATCAGGACAAGTCATTGACACAAGATTAGTTAAGCAGAAAGGCAAAGAGGCCATCTAAGGTTTCTTTACTTTTTTGGTAAAAGTGTTACTACATTGTTGTAATTTTGCATTCTTCCATGAATGACCGTTATACCCTTTTAGCTGGATCATCGGAGGGTGAAACTGGAAATTGGGTACTATATAAATTCCCAAAAAGGAGTGAACTTTAGGGTTTTGCTCTCATTAGTTTAAGTATGAGGTTCTGCTCCCGGAGAATTTTTCTTCCGGTGGAAGCGGCTCCGATGATTTCAATTCTTTGTTGACGAACCACTTGTTAAAAGTGGTGATGAATCGTCCAATCAAATCTCCTCCTCCACCACCACCACCAACTACTACTACTTCTGATGTTCCTCGATTTACTGTTTCTGCTTTGCCTGGATCTCTATCTTTTTCTTCTTCTTCTTCTTCTTCTTGATGTGAGACTATGATGATTCATAAGAAGTCTATAGACCAGACATGCGGTAACACTCTCTTTCATGGCGGGGTTATAAGGAAAAAGGAACTCTTTTTTCTTTGTTAGCAGCCATGGCGGATGGGTATATCCTCTAAATCTGTCTGAGAAAAGGCGAATCTGAGTCCTCTTCTGTGACATGCATTATCTTTTAATTTCAAAATCTTTTCTGTTAAAAGCTTTATTTATGCTTTTAGTATATGATTAGCTGTGAGCAGCGGGCATATGATTATAATAAAATTGATGGTTTTGTCTTGAAGAGATCTTATTGAAATGTTCGCCATAATGAGCAATGGGCATATTAATATTGTCCGATGTGCGTTGCTAAGAAAAGATTTCAGAATAATCTAACTCAAACAAGATACAATTAAAAAAGATTATAAGAAATATGGGAATATCATCTAGAAAGCTTTAATAGCATTATAGATTGCTACAAACACACGCTAATTGCGAATACGAATTCAAGATTGAATGAAAGAACTTTCAACTACAATTTTGTGACAACTCAACTAACTGATGTGATATCGAAATCTGTTTTGATCAAGAATATGACTGTTGGAAAGTATTCATTTTCAGACTTGCTAGTTTGAAGTTAATTTGTTTGTGTTTATTACAAATTGTGTAATCAATTTGTTTACAATTATTGTTTAGCTGGCTAAAGAACTTAGTCTCTATCATTCTTGTTTCAGATTAATCTCCAGAAAAAGAAAACTGTCAATTAGTTTCTAGTTTTGTAATAAACTTGCTTAGAGGCTTAGAGCCATGTGCTTTTCTATAGTGCATCACGGAAAATTTAGTGTTCTTATTCTCACTTGAAGAAGTGGATGTTAACAATGAAAAATAGAAATATTTGTGTAATCATGGTGTGTGTGGAGATGGCTAATTCCATCTCTTCGGATCACACATCCACTTGTATGATGTGTAGCTGTTACTTCTTTTTGTGGTAGCATCATTCTTGAGAGAGAGAGAGAGAGTCATGAAAAGTTATGTACAAACAAGACAAGGTTTCCTTATATATCTCACTTATTTTTCCTCCACAAGCTCCCAAAAGAGTTTACCTGGTAACTCTAGACCAAAATCTGACAGAGACACAAGACCAAATACACATCTTCTTATTTATTGTCTCTGTGTGTTTGAGTTGTTCTTCCTCTTAAAGAAGCAGAGAGAGAGTCATGGAGAGAATGTCAGCTGGTTTATGGCTTGTATTCTTCTTCTTTACTGTTGTTGCAGATGCAAAGTATCCTCCAGGAGGTTCCTACCATCTTTTATCTTTGAGACAAAACATGAAGATCTCCAAGTCAAAGGCAGAGTTACCCTTTCACTTTCAAACTCATTATTTCCCACAGAATCTTGACCACTTTAGTTTCCAACCAGAGAGCTACAGAATCTTCCACCAGAAGTACCTCATCAGTAGCCATTTCTGGCGCAAAGGTGGCCCCATCTTTGTCTACACAGGCAATGAAGGTGATATTGAATGGTTTGCTTCCAACACTGGCTTCATGTTGGACATTGCTCCCAAGTTCGAGGCTCTTCTTGTCTTTATTGAAGTAAAAGCTTTTGCATAATCGCTTAATACATCTCTTATCTGAAGAATCTAACTTGAAAACACTAATGCTGCTCGGTTTGTCTTGTTTTATATATATCCTTGCAGCATAGATTCTATGGAGAGTCTAAGCCCCCCAGGTCAGCCAAGGCAATGGGATACCTGAACTCACAGCAAGCATTGGCTGATTATGCAATCTTGATACGAAGCTTGAAGCAAAATTTATCGTCAGAAGCATCTCCTGTCGTAGTCCTTGGTGGCTCTTATGGTGGAAGTAAGCTTACAGATTTCCACTCAATTGTTCACTTCTTATTACTACACATCGGTTCTTATAAATTATCTTCCGTTGTACTCCATCTCCTGAGACAGTGCTTGCAGCATGGTTCAGGCTGAAATATCCACATATTGCAATTGGCGCATTAGCATCCTCTGCTCCAATTCTGCAGTTTGATAAGATTGTTCCGTCTTCGAGCTTCTATGACTCCATTTCTCAAGATTTCAAGGTCTGTCTATTTCTAACGCGGTTAGTACAAAAGTTCTATTCAGTGATGAGTTTCTCATGCCTCGTATTATGAGCAGGACGTGAGTGTTAACTGTTTTGAAGTCATCAAGAGAAGCTGGGGTTTTTTCCACCATGAAAGATGGCTTACAAGAACTCAGCAAAAAGTTCAGATCTTGCAAGTAAAAATCTGCTTTCCCTCATTGTTGGCAAAGCTAATCTTCGAGCCCTCTTATCTTGTGATGATCTATTGTCTAATATTTAACAAATCACAGGGGTCTTCACAATGTCACTGCTGCCTCACAGTGGCTAGATTCAGCCTTTGTTAATACAGCAATGGTTAATTATCCAACTCCAGCAAATTTCATGGCTCCACTGCCTGCTTACCCAGTGGAGGAGGTAAGACATGTTAAGAGTGTAAAAAGTAACTTGTTTCTTGTACCGGTTTATTCACAATGAGACATCTTATTACATCAGATGTGCAAGATCATCGACGGGTTTCCTCCAGAAGCCAGCAATCTTGATCGTGCATTTGCAGCTGCAAGCTTATACTACAACTATTCAGGTTCAGAGAAGTGCTTCGATATTGAAAACGAAACTGATCCTCATGGAGTCAATGGTTGGTATTGGCAGGTATTCATGAGTCTATCTGTTTCCTTTTTGATAATTATTTGAACAGTTCACAAAATTTGTTATTCAACTTACGACTGGATCAATGATAATATCGTTTTGAAAAAGGCTTGCACAGAGATGGTAATGCCAATAAGCTGTTCGAACCAGAGCATGTTTCAACCATTCGAAAATGATGACAAAGGAGACCAAGAATACTGTTTAAGGGAATATGGTGTCAAGCCTAGACCACACTGGATTACCACCGAATTTGGCGGTCAGGTTTGTTTAAATTTTGCTTCTTATCTTTTCCTGAATAGCAGACCTAAACGCTCAGCTTTTGATGAGAGTATGGTTATTGCAGAGAATAGAGATGGTGTTGAAGAGATTTGGTAGCAACATTATATTCTCGAATGGAATGCAGGATCCATGGAGCAGAGAAGGGTAAAGTCACTCATCCCTCATTCCATATTCCATGTCCGTATAAAAAGATCGCGGAGTTGAGATGCGTTACTGGAGTTTTCAGGATTCTGAAGAACATATCGAGCAGCATCATTGCGCTTGTGACCAAGAAAGGTTAAACGTTTGTGAAATTTAAGAGTGAATACACACACACAGACACAACTATTATATGGAAACTAAAAATAGTGTGTGTAAAGCAGGAGCTCACCATGCGGATCTCAGGGCTGCTACAAAAGAAGATCCTGAGTGGCTGAAAGAACAAAGGAGACAAGAAGTTGCAGAGATGGAGAAATGGATCAGTGAATATTACAGTGATCTGAGACAAGAAGAGCAAGGCAGTTATTAGAAACACCGTGTGTTTTTCATGTGCGTTGGGATGACATTACGCCCAATAGTAAAATTAAAATAATCGATTATTTTCATCTTTCAGCCGAGATAAAAATTATAGTATCCCTGTATATGATATCACTTGAGAGAAACACAACTATATACAGTATATGTACGATAAGTAGTTTCATCAAAATCGATACATTTAACATTCTAATCTTCACTAACACGTAGCTCGGTTTTCATATGTTGTTGAGTGTTGACCCAATCAACCAATTTGTAAAGAAATTATAATAAGGTGTCTTTTTGTCAACGACATATATGTATACTGAGATTATGGAATTCAAAATAAGGTGAAACCGTAATAAATTAGTGTTACTTATTTAGTACAGTGATTACGTGAGAAAAATGCACCACCGACATCTGAACCGGACTCATTTGAAACGCAGTCGTTTATGGTAGTTTCTCCGCGTTTGGCACATCAACACTCAGCTCTGTTTTTCAATTCGTCCATTTTTACGCTGACAGTATCTATCTACACACTAATCGCCATTGTTGCTGCACTTCTGACTCTGATTCGTTGGCTTCGCCATTCTGTTCTTCTTCCACAACGATGGCTCGTCGATCTGGAGATTGCATGAGATGTCTGGTGATTTTCGCGGTTGTGTCAGCTTTAGTTGTGTGTGGACCTGCTCTCTATTGGAAATTCAACAAGGGTTTCGTTGGATCCACTCGTACTAACTCTCTTTGTCCTCCTTGCGTTTGTGATTGTCCACCTCCTTTGTCTCTCCTTCAGATTGCTCCTGGTATGCCTACCTTTTCTTTTCTGATTGGATCTAGATGTTCCTCGTTTTATAATTGGATTCGTGATTACGAGTGTGTTCTGAAATTTAGTTCCTTTATGAGTATTGGTCACACGTTTAAGATGCCCTTTTCCTAAAATTTCGATTTGGTGATCTTGCTATGAAGCATCTGATCTTGTTTGGTTTCAACACTAGATCTTTCAATCAACCTATCTCTTTTAGGCTTAAATCTTTTTTTTTTTTCTCTAATTAGTAAGAAAGAATCTCGACTTGTATATTGTTTAACAAGTTGCCTTCGTTTTTTTTTTGTCTTGCAGGGCTTGCAAATCTCTCTATTACAGGTCAGATCTCGATTCTGAGCTTGACTTTTTGTTTACTTACGTCTGTGTTGTTTCCTTCATGTTACTATGTGGTTTGATAGTTATTGAGGAGCTTTCATTTCTGTCTAACGAAGTAACATGGCAGATTGGTTTCCTTGTAATTCTCCTTCTTATTTCCAAATTCCTCATTTTTCTGGTGTTTTCTAAGTCTAGGATCTTACAAGTCATTTGATGAATCAATAGCCATTTTCAATCTTGATAGAAGCTTGATGGCAGAACAGGCTTTTCATTTTGTCACTGATACTCTGCTTGTTATCTGTGATCTGACTCGAACACTTTATCATTCCCTTTCCGCATATAGATTTTTTTGGTATTCTCTTGTCAAGATGTTCTTCAGTTGGTGTTAAATACCGGAAATGAATTCTGATTTGTGTTGTGAACAGATTGTGGAAGTGATGATCCAGAGCTCAAACAAGAGATGGAGAAGCAATTTGTGGACCTTCTGACTGAGGAGCTGAAGCTGCAAGAAGCAGTTGCAGATGAGCATAGCCGTCATATGAATGTTACCCTCGCAGAAGCTAAAAGGGTTGCATCTCAGTACCAAAAGGAGGCTGAAAAGTGCAATGCCGCCACTGAGATTTGTGAATCAGCTAGAGAGAGAGCCGAAGCTTTGTTGATCAAGGAGAGGAAGATCACTTCTTTGTGGGAGAAGAGAGCTCGGCAATCAGGTTGGGAAGGTGAGTAAACTGATTGCACTTCTCAGTCTACCTTGAAGATTTTAGCTCTGAGAAATTGAATTTTCACAGCTCAACTCAAGTAAAGGAAGTTGTTTAATTGTCACGGCAAAGTCCTATCTTCCACGTTTCTCCATATATGTAGTTTTTTGTTTTGTTTTTGCCCTTGGATTGGAATGTAGCTAAAGAAAGGCGTAGCCCTGTATTAACTTTTCTTCATATATAAAAGTGTCCATTTCTCTACCATGAAGTTTCACTTGCTTCTCTTGTTAGATAAGAAGTCGTTTATGTATTTTATGGTTCGTGTTCATTGGGAACCCCAAACCATCACATTATCAATAACCAAGAGCCAAAGAAAAGAATGAGCTAGGTACCTCAGCTAGTCAAATCCGAGCTTAGGCTTATCTTTGGTTTGTTGAATGTTACATGTTACTGAGACAGTAAAGTCTGTGAGTTAATACGACTGCATTAAAGGTAGAATTGATACATGACTGTGATATTAATATACCATGGCTTAATCTAAGCACAAGAGGACCAAGAGAGTCACTTGGACTCTGTTTTCTGCTTTGCTTAAAAACCTAACAAAGACTTTTTCAGACGTCAAGTTACATGAGAGTTCGTGAACAGAGAGAAGAGCTGAGAAGAGACAAAAAGTAGAGAAGTCAAACGCACTTAGGTTAACATAATAATGATCGCTCCAGGTATCACGCGGTTTCGGTTTTCAATATTCCTTCATTCACAAAAACAGCTGTCTTTATTTCTATTTTTTAGCGTCAGCCATTAAAGTACTCTGTTTGCATTATTCTAATACTCAGAGGGACAGAATCCATAAAAGCCTTAGATCTACCATCAGTGACTCCTGCAAACCGTCCACTCCATGTGGATTGTACAAAAAGTTCGATAAAGAAAATATCTATTAGACTTTGGTTCTAGATTCAACTAATCTCTGTTTCTATATCTTCTGTGTTCCTCTCTGAAGCTTCCTTAGTGTAGGACTAATGTTCTTTTCTCGAACTTAAGGAAGTGCATTAAATTCTCTTCTCTCTAGGCACTGATATTGATAAGTTATTTACTTTAAATGGATAATTCCATGAACAAGAGAGGACATGGACACAATCAAGAGTATGCAGATAACTTGCCAGAATCAAAGAGACAGAAGCTTCCTGCTTTGGCAAGGTAACTCACATTTAACATGTGTTATTGTGTCGTAACTTTAGAATTTTTTGGCTGTGATTCTGAACTCTTTTTGGATTGGAGCTTTTTTTGAGATGTTTATTACTACACTATCCAAAAAGGCAAAAACATGGCACTGTGAAAATTCTTGTTTTTCAAAATTTCGATAGTCTTGCCTAGCCTTGCAAGGTCATCAAATTTTCTCAGACGTCTTTGTATGACAAGAAAGACTGTTCTACAGTGTCATCGTGGAAGCTGTCAAGGTAGATAGTTTGCAGAGGCTATGCTCGTCTTTGGAACCATTATTTCGAAGAATTGTAAGTATGATATCCTATTTCGAAGTTTATTTTCCACATAGACCAAATCTTGAGAAGCCTGTGGGCTGCGGGAGGTGTAAACTTGGTTGTGGTGTTGATCAATGGACAGGTCAGTGAAGAGGTGGAACGTGCCTTGTCGAGGTTGGAGAACTCGAAATCTACTTCAAGGTATTTTCTCTACTTATATACCTTTGCTAGAATGGTTCCATGTTATTTACAGTAATTTGAGTTTTCAGATCTCCAGAACCGAAAAAGATTCAAGGCCTCAATGGAAAAAACCTGCAACTTCGGTTCAGAACAAGAATGCATCCTCATTTATTCACAGGTGGGAAAGTTGAGGGAGAGCAAAGCTCAGCCATTCACGTGGTTCTTATAGATGCAACCACCGGAAATATAATCCAAACGGGAGAAGAATCAATGGCAAAGCTGAATATTGTCGTGTTAGACGGAGACTTCAATGATGAAGACGACAAAGATTGGACGAGAGAACATTTTGAGAGCTTTGAAGTGAAAGAACGCGAAGGAAAACGTCCCATCTTGACTGGTGACAGACATGTGATACTTAAAGAAGGTGTGGGAACTCTTGGAAAACTTACTTTTACTGACAATTCGAGCTGGATTCGGAGCAGAAAGTTTAGACTCGGTGTTAAGGCTGCATCCGGGTTTCACATTCGTGAAGCTAAAACAGAGCCATTTGCTGTTAAAGATCACAGAGGAGAACGTGAGTATCGTAAAAACTTTGGACTGAATTGATAAGCAAATATATATAGTTTCTTGGACTGTCTAACTCAATCTTGGATTATCATTTGGCGATGTTTTTTTTACAGTATACAAGAAACATTATCCACCGGCTTTACATGATGAAGTCTGGAGATTGGATAAAATAGCAAAAGATGGGGCGCTACACAAGAAGCTACTAAAATCTAACATCGTGACTGTTGAAGACTTCCTACGGATACTCATGAAGGATCCACAGAAACTAAGAAGCGTATGTGCATCTTTATATTGTGAACATCTCACAAGCAAATGATCTTTTCTTGCTTATGTTCTTTCTTGGTGTGTGATTAACAGTTACTTGGGAGTGGAATGTCAAATAAAATGTGGGATAACACAGTGGAGCACGCAAAGACCTGTGTCTTAGGTGGGAAACTATATGTCTATTACACAGAGCAAACACATGCGTCAGGCGTTGTCTTTAATCATATATATGAATTCCGAGGCCTAATTGCCAATGGCCACTTCTTATCTATGGAATCTCTTAACCATGACCAAAAGGTTAAGCATTTCTCTGTTAAGCTATCTTATTTTCTTCTTCATCTTCAATGCATCTTGAATCTGCAGTCTTTAAAGATCATACTTAAAAAGTGATGAAACTTTTGAACTTTTGTGCAATTCAACAGATTTCTGCCGACATTTTGGTGAAGACTGCTTACGAGAACTGGCATAAAGCGGTTGAGTATGATGGTAAGGTGTTGAAATGCTTACCAGATGTTGATAAGAAGGAAATAAAGAACTCGCCGGAGCCAAAAATGGCTCAGAACCATCAAACGCAGCAAAAGACTCAGCTATGTGAACAGACTGCGAATGGCTACTCATCAGTTCCTCAGCATCTGATAGAGTATCCTTTTGTGCAACAAGCTAGCACTCAGTTACGAGACTACATATCGATGGAGAGTTCTTCTGTTTCAGGCTCATACAATGGAGGCCTTGAAGATATATTCACGGAGGAAATTCGAGCAAGGAGTTCGGTGATGCTTGAGACCGATGATATGCAGAGTTTCCTGAAGACATTTGGGTTTGGTCATAACAATGAGTCCTGTTACGGTTTCAGTGAAGCTCAGATAGATAAAGGTAATGGGAGAGAAGGAGGTAGAGGCTCAGGGAAAGCTGTAGTTGGATGGCTTAAGCTTAAAGCTGCATTGAGATGGGGTATTTTTATACGCAAGAAAGGTGCAGAGAGGAGGCCTCAAATTGTGGAGATGGACTAATAAAGTTGGGAGAACTTTACTTTTGTAACAAACTTAGAGTAATTGCTCTTGTCTCAGTTTAATCCCGGTTTAGCAATTACTATAAACTCAAGAGTACATCTTCTGGATGAGCAAGGAAGGAAAAAATCAACCTACAGTAGGACTTAGCATTGTATTTGTTTGCCTTTTTATGATTAGAGTATGTTGATTTTATCTTCGCATTAAACTGCTTTGTTTTATTTGGGCTTGGTACAAATATCTTTCTACTTGTGCATTGATCGTTTATGTTGTTGTATTTGATCTTTCTTTGAGCTGTGATATTCAAGAGTTTACTCATTCAAGGGCAGGGATCTTCTTTATCCTGCAGTTTGTTGAGGAGTAATGTAGTAACACTTTTCAAGACTATGTATGGTCTTTCTTTTAAAGTTAAACTCTAGTCTGTAAGTTTTAAAACTTATAATCATACCAATTTGTAATCAACTAACCAACCAACCAGCGTCTAATCAGGCCCATCCTGCCGACAAAAAAAAAAAAAAAAAAAAAAAATCAGGCCCATCTTTGGGTGAGGAAGTCCGAGTACCTCCTAGGGAAACAAACAACTAGCGTCTTCTTCCTTGATTGGGATTTTTCTTTGAGGTTTGTAGAACCGCTTGGTTCAGACTTCTCTCAGTAGAAGCAAAAAATGTTCATGATTCGTCTCTCCCGCCACAATCGATCCTCATTTACACTTCTCACCCGCAGCCTTCACAGCGCTTCCGACCAAACAGTGTCTTCGTCCCGACTCCGAGACCATTACAATTTCCAACCGCCGCCGCCATTGTCGTCAGCCTCTGAAAATCACGACCTTAACCAAAAGAAGAAGAAGGCGAAGCCGCAGTACCGCCCGCCTTCGTCTCTGGAAGGTGTGAAGAAGGTGCACTCTGATCTTCCGTTTGATTTCCGGTTCAGTTACACAGAGAGCAGTTCAAATGTTAGGCCAATTGGCTTGAGAGAACCCAAGTATTCTCCTTTCGGTCCTCAACGGTTGGACCGGCAATGGACCGGAGTCTGTGCTCCCGCGGTTGATCCTAAGGTAGAGTCCGTGGACGGAGTGGAGGATCCGAAGCTGGAAGAGAAAAGAAAGAAACTGAGGGAGAAGATCCAAGGGGCATCACTCACTGAAGCTGAAAGGAAATTTCTGGTGGAGCTGTGTCAGAGGAACAAAACTAAAAGACAAGTCAATCTTGGTATTCATTTCTTCACTCCCTTATGGTCAGATGAATAGATGCAATCAAATTGGGAAATTTTGAAGGGTTTCTTCTTGTCAGGAGAAGGATATATTCCTGTTTAGAAATGTTTTCTTCTTAGTCACCAATAACGAATTGATTCTTCGTCTCTTTTGTATACTGCTATTTCTATGTTGAGTGGTTGCTTTGGGGGTATGTGTAGGGCGAGATGGTTTGACTCACAATATGTTGAATGATATCTATAATCATTGGCAACATGCTGAAGCAGTTCGGGTTAAATGTCTTGGAGTCCCAACTCTCGATATGAAGAACGTTGTCTTCCACCTTGAGGTTTTGCCTTTTATGAATATGAAATTTCTCCTTTCAGTATATGATTATGTTGTCTTGTTTGTCTTTTGATCCATGTACTTTAGTCTTTAGCTATCTAGGGAATCTTAAGAATGACACTTACAACAGTGTTGCCTGTTATTACAGGACAAAACGTTTGGCCAGGTAGTGTCTAAACACTGTGGTACCCTTGTGTTATATAGAGGGCGAAACTACGATCCCAAGAAAAGGCCTAAGATCCCACTGATGTTGTGGAAACCTCACGAACCGGTGTACCCTAGGTTAATTAAAACAACAGTTGATGGCCTAAGCATCGAAGAGACCAAAGCAATGAGAAAGAAAGGGCTAGCGGTTCCTGCCCTGACAAAACTTGGTCCATACCTTTTCCATGTCTTATTATTTTTAAATGCTGGTGGTATCAATAACCTTAATCACTTTTGCTGAAATTATTTTTTCAGCCAAGAATGGCTATTACGGTAGTCTTGTTCCAATGGTGAGAGATGCTTTCCTCGTGAGTGAATTGGTACGGATTGATTGCGCGGGACTAGAGAGAAAGGATTACAAGAAAATTGGAGCAAAGCTCAGGGTGAGATGTTTCTTTCTGTCTCTCTCACTTTTTTCTGCTGTCCAACTTCATCTTCTGGTCAAGCCTTTTGGAGACCTCTCTACTGCTTCAGGTATCTGTTTGAACAAACACTAACATCTAAGTTTGTGTGAAGGATTTGGTCCCTTGCATCCTGGTGACATTTGACAAGGAGCAGGTCGTGATTTGGAGGGGTAAAGACTATAAGCCACCCAAAGATGATGATGAATATTCGTCCTTCATTCATCGTGAATCTTCAATAGACACTGATTTAAGTTGTGGCAGAGGGGCTCAAGATTCTCCAGATGAGACAACCAGAACCTAAGATGATTTAGTACTCTTGATCTCAGTTGTATAGTTAGTTATATGGTGAGAGTATTTTGTGGTAATGTTTCTAGAGAATCCAGCCTTTTACTTTCTTTGACAAATTGATATAACTAATCCAAGTAGCATACGAACTTTACTTATTTGTCTAGCTAAGGAACACTAGATGGGTTGAAGAAAATGCTGATTACATTTGTTCTCTGTTGCTTTTCCTACAAGTAATGATCTGCTACAGAAACCCCAAACCTGGTGCTACATTTTTACAGGAGATTGAACATCGAGCAAATACCCAAAGACAGGGCACCATTCTACATTGCAATACCTCCCTAGATGATCTCTGTTCCGCTGTGACCCTGTGTTTTAGCATTTGTTTTGATCACATTGAGGAAATGACTTTGAACAAGCTTCTGAGTGTTCCGAGTTGAAAGCCCATGCGATGCCAAAGAAGGAATCTACCATACCAAATGTCTTCTGATTATGCTGCTACTACCTCTTCCCGAATTTCAAGCACCGATTGTGCTTAATCTCGGTGATACTGGGCTCATTAGTTAGTTGTTTGGTCGGTGGATTGGTTAGAGAGAGTTTCTCCATTGCGTTTACGAACTTTTTGAGGTGCTTGATGTACTCAGGGTAAGTCTCGAGGTTGCAATGCCCTCCTCCCTTCACCCATAACGGATCATACTTCTCCTTCGCCAGTTCCCACAATCGTTTACCGTGAGACAAATCAACAATCTCATCATTTGTGCCCTGCAGCTCATCACAGAACAAATCAACAAAATGAAGACACACAAATCAACAAGATCTAAAGCTTTTTTACATACATGTATGACAAGGACTTGGGCGTTGACATGGCGAATCTTGTCTATGTTCTGCAGTAAAAGATTCAAAACAAAGAAATGAGACAGGAACAGAGTATGTACCCAAGCAAATGCACATTCTTTTGCATGTTTTTTTCCTTACTTTGAATATATCGAACCAGAGGGTCATTTTGACAGGATACAGAACTCTAATTCCAGAGAGAATGGCGCTGTGAAGAACAACTCCTCTCAGCCTCTTCAACCGAGAAGCCAAGTGTAGCGTTGGACCACTTCCTACAGACTGTCCATACAGAATTATCTCCTCTTGCTTGATATCATAAACGCTCCTCAAGCAATTGTACACTGCCTCTATGTCATAATATGTGTTGAATTCAGACGGCTATACCAAAAGAACCAGACAAAAATTAAAAAAAAAAATGAGAAAACAAAACCATCTGAAAATCACATTAAGGTTTTAAAATTAGTATGATTGTTCTTTTGTTTACCTTTCCTGTTGAAGCTCCATAGCCCGAATAATCATAACTGTTTCAAATGCCATCAGGACATGAAAAATATATTAAAAAAAAAAAATCAAAAAAGACAAGTCAAATGTAAGAATCTAACAAAACCCGTAAAGGTTTTTTTGTTGTTGGTTTCTGGTGAGGTTTAATGATATATATACCTCATGATGTTGACGCGGAGATGAGCACGGAGCTCGATGAAGAGCTCGACCATTTGGCCAAGATCAGCGGCATTGCCGTGGGAATAGAGAAGCGTGAATCTCGCAAAAGGGTGTTTCCAGAACGTGGCGACAACTTTGTTGCCAGGCTTTGTGGTGAGCTGGTGGACTTCCACGTTCTTGTCCGCCGACACTCCGGCAAAGACTAGGTTCCCGGTCTCTTCATCCTTCGTTACGCCGTATGTTGCCGGCTCCGGAGGGAAGAATGCGAACTTGGCCGCCACATTTGACGTCACATTACCCATTTAATCAAAACCTCACAAGAAAGAAGAAGAACAAGTTTCAATGAAGAGAAGGAGAAAAAAACACCAAACCCAGTGTCTCCCTCTCTGTCTCTTTCTCTGTATGTCTAAGAAAAGAATTAAAAAATGTTTTTTGTCTTGATGGTTTTGTTTTAGTATTTGGTGGGTTTGTGTTAACTCCTTGAGAGGTAAATTGGAAGGGAAGAAAATGGAGAGAAGGTGGAGAGAAGAAAGGATCCGAACTTGGCGGGGGAAAGAAGAAGATGAGCTGTTCCTTTAAACCCAATTTAACTTCTACACCTCTCTTCTCTCTTTTTTAGACTTCATTTCTTTTTTGTTCATTAAGGGTTTTTATAGAATCATAAATTTAGTTCTTAAGATTCTTTTTAGGATTTAATCAATTACTAGACTGGATTCTTTTCAAGATATAAATGGTGTACTGTAAATGACACACAATATTTGAACCTGATGGCGTAATAATACAACAATTCTCTTCTTTGTTTTCTTTTGGTCAAAAAAGATAATTCTATTTTTATGCACCTGCTCAAATGTATTTGTGAGTTTTGTGACATTTAAAAAACGAAGCTTATGATTTGGTCGTTGACACCACGCATCAATATTTTCTTACATAAGAAGTTAGGTAACCGTTATAATGTGCCCATCTAATAATAATATTACCGGATGAATTCCATTTTCCACATTTGGTTACTACTACCCCTTTTGCATTGAAGGTTTTTAGTCAAATAAATTGGGACTTAATTTTGAACATATACATATTCATATACATGTGATTTGATTTCATTCTTCTTCTTGTGTTTGGAAATTAGAGTTATACTACTGAAAAAACAAAATATATTATATTTTGTACTTGTGTCTTGAAATAAGAGTTTTACACATAGGAACGAACGAAGGGTTAAGATTTGGTCAAAGGCTGCAAGTGATGGCTTTTAATGGAAGTCTTGTCAGAGTACTCAGACATTCCCTCCATCTCTGTCTATTTTTCTCTTCCCCTATCTTTAACACTACACCCACTTGATGAAATTAACTGTTTTTTTCTTTTTTGTCATATTGGTCACGTTTTTGGCTTTTATGATGATTTCTTGTCCCAATATTTTTCAAAGTACGATTAAAAAAAGAGAGGAGGCATTGTCTTGTTTGGACAAGTATGCTTTTAATGTTCTGACACGATTCTGTGTGTTTTGGACTTCGTCAGCTTCAGATTTTGACCAAAAATTATTAGCTTAAACGGGTGTAAGATAATGATTCAGTTTAATTTATTGATTTGCTTTATAACAGTGATGATTATTTGAATGTCCCGTGAAATCCGCCATTTTTAAATGGGGTAATGACTAATGACACAGGTTTGTCGATTGCAGATCGTATGTTGTAGATAACCCGCTTTTTCTACAAAGGAATCTAAAGTAATATAAGGTTATGCTAACCTAGTAACAAATAAGAAGCTAACATATATAGTGCATTGAATAATTACCTTCGCATATGCATGGATGATTGATTGATATTGCATATGTATACGTATTCATCTATTCCTACATATATACAATTCTTACGTATATACATTCATATTACATGCATTATGTGTTTCTTTTTCATTTTTTGGACAAAATTTTGTAGAGGCAACTTTAACCCGAGTTACTCAACGTGATCTAAAGACGTGACATTCAACAACCTCTTTGTTATTAGTTTTATAGTTTTCAATGATTAAATATGTAAACTTTGGATAAGTGGAAGATGCCATTTTAGCTTTTTGCTAATCAAAACCTTTGTACATTTTATTTGCATGGTCAGCTTTTTAAGACATTGAGCTTGGTCCAAATGAGAGAAAAGTATCTTGAGTCAACAAAGGCATGATGAGAGTTTTGTGTGGAAGTTTGAGCTCTTTATTAATCTTAAAATCATTAAAACACCATAAAAAAAAAAAAAAGCAAAAGAAAAAAAGAAAAACAAAGGCAAGTAAAAAGGTGACGAGACTTGTGTAATTCCTTTTTTTTTTCATATCTAAATCTTTTGTACTAAGATAAAGATGTAGATTAATTACCATATTGAAGACTACTATTTCACAAAGCCCAACGGGCTTCTTTTGTAGGTTTGTTTATTGTGTACATGAACAAAGTACTGGTGCAAGAGCCAACATATTGGTCTCTCATTTCTTTCACCAAAAAATTCAACCCAAAAAATGAAAAATCATGATGACTGATGATGAGTGACAAAAAAATAGCCTATGTTTATCTTATATGTCTATATGAAAGTAATTTAAAGCTGAAGAATGGTTTGTGTAACAGAAACAGAAGCTCAAGTGGAGGGTTTCAATGGTGGATACTACTCAGTGACGTTTCATCTCCTGGAAAATGTTGGAAACTCTTGGAGACAGTCTCGGAAGGAACTTAAACAGCTGCATCAGAAGGAAAAACAGTTTATGAGCAAACAAGACGAACCAAAGGAGAGACACATAAATCAAAAGAGGATGTAAAAGGAGACAAGTAGATACCCAGAGCTTAACACAAGCGTCCATTATAACAGGAACTAGGCAGATAAATATGGTAATAGTAGATTGCTCAACTTCAAGACCATAATGTTCCATTATTATCTCTAACAATGTCTCCCATCCAGATTCAGAATGGTACCTATAAAGAGGAGCATGAAGTTATACACCCTTCTTTGCACAAACAGGCTATCGATAGAGCCAATCTAGCGCTAATATCAGGTTATTGGGACAGTAAGAGCTTTGATTTTAACGTTTGTTATGAGCTTCAGTTCTGGTGTTGGCTCTTAATGAAAGCAATGATTTGGACATTTACCCCAAGAATATGTCAGTGATCAGGATGATGAGAAATGCCTTTCCCGTGTCTGAAATGTTGTTTATGATTTTATATCCCGTAAATTTCAACAAGGCTACCTGAAAAAAGTTCATGAAGTAACCAAAAGAACGCACATGTTAACAAATTGGGTTTAACAGCTAGAATCTTCAAAAGGATACGTAGAATGCCATTTTAGGTGGGATATATCATGGTTGGAAACGAAAACTTACTCTACCCTGATTGGCGTACAAAAGAACAAACAAGGAGATCCCAAACACCATATCAGACCATATGTTGGCAAATGCTTTCCGGTTTTCTAATCTCCACTCATCTCGCAGCTCCAAACTGTTGAAGAAACCGATGGGAGGAACAAAAGAAAAAGAAACACAGTAAGGCTATGCGTGGAAACTAACTATCTGGTAGAAGGTCAAGATGGGTTTTCAATCCTTGACATCAAAAGAAACTAAGATTGTGAAGTTGAGTCTTACGCTTTACCCCGCATCTCCCACCATAATTCATCGTCAGAAAGAGGCGGAGATTTGCCAATCTCAACTTCAAGACGGTACCTAGCTTTTTCTCTGTTAAGTTCCTTTACCATTTCTAGCTTCTGATTTCGTCTCACATCAAGCGTCTGGGCAGCAAGTGGTACAGTCTTAACATATCTATGAGTAAAGGCACAGACTAAACAATCAAAAATGGGGACTAACACAACGTAGAGACATAATCTGGGGAAATTTAACAGCAGAAATGAAGAAATCACCTGTCTAAGAAAGGCATAAGTACATAATCATGGGCCAAAAAGTCTAATGCCCATGGAATGAGGATTAATACCGCCAAAAACTTTGCCTGTAAAGAGTTACAATGAGCACTGATCAGTCATCTAGGAGAACAGTTACAATCAATAACACACAGACTAAGAATCCTGTAAAACATCAATAGAAAAAGCTATGTAGCGTAGTGAAACTATCACATAACTCACCGATTTTGAAGATGCATAACGAAAAATACGGTCTTCGTACAGAATATCTTCTTCTTCTGCTCCTAAAACCATATCCCTCACCATTTTAACCAACCCTCCGTCTGGAATTATCAATTCATCGAGCTCAAATTTGTCATCAGTTCCCTCACTAGCAGCAGGGTCTCGGCTCCAAGACTCAACTAAACTATCATCTGAATCCACAATCCAATCCTCCCATTTCTTGCTCACATTACTTACATCATCATTACGCACAATCTCCTCCTGACCTTCCCGTAACTCCACAATCGCCTCTGCTCTTCTCTTCCAAGTCTCAAATTTCTCTTCATCAGACATCTCATCATCCTTAGCAAGCTCAGATGTCTCATCAACAATGTCGTCGTCCCTCAAACCAAGCCAATTCCCATCATCATCAAAGAAAAACCTCTGCCACCAGCTTCTTCTCCTCTTATTATTACCCGTATCACTGTTACTCTTCTCCGCACTGGGAACAAATCTCCAAAGCCTCTTTCTTCTCTTACCCCACAACGAAATCGAGTCACAGGGCGTATAACGAAGAGAAGATGATGAAGACGATTCAGGAGCTGGGTTTTGGCTATTGAAGGATAAGCAGTGGCATAAGACCATTGACGAGCTCATCAAGGACATTAGTCAAACCCAACATTGTTTGGACTGTAATTTCAAGGAAACAACAAAACGGATTCTTCAACGAAACTCAGACGACCAAGCATATTTTGTTCTTTGTAAAAATTCAACAACTTTACAAAGCCCTAATCACGGAATTCAGAAGCTCCGAGCGGATAAGTATTAGGGTTCTGCTAAAAAAACGTTACCGAGAAAGAGAAGCAGAAGCAGACCCCAGATGCTGCGAGAGGAAGTGGATGATGATGGACCATATGATAGATAAAGCCACTCTCTTTCTTTTGTTATCTTCTCCAAATTAAAACATGCACAAATATCTGTTATCCATATAAGATTGAAATAATTACAAAACGTAATATTATCTTTTGGCCAAAATTGTTCTTTTAGTCGTTTTTAATTGGCTACAAATAATATTACGTATTTTTCATAATTAAATTTAAGTAATAATATCTCACTTCTTCTAAATATCGGTGTTATTATGGAGTCCTTGCATCGAGTAGAAACTCTGACTTCAGGGCTCCATCATCATCACCATCACCATCGTACTGACGCCAACAGAAACAAAGTATCAGATCAGTGAAGATTTTAAACTCGGGGAATCATGAAATCCTTAGAAAGTAAAGTTTCGTTCTTTGTAACTCACTGGGCTTTACTATCTCCTTTTTATGTTTGAGGCATTTTAACGAACATCTTCCGTGCAATAACCACCAATTTGCAGGTGCCAGTGTTTTGATCTTTATGACCAATTGGTTCCATACAAGAAAGCTTGGTCATGGCAGAAAAGCATTGTCAAGGAGAAAAAGGCATTGATTGACAGAAACCAAGACTGCCCTGATTCAGTGATTTTGTTACAACACACTCCTGTTTACACAATGGGAACTGGTAGTACAGAGGATTATCTCAATTTCGACATAAGGAATGCTCCTTTCGATTTGTATCGAACAGAGCGTGGTGGTGAAGTCACTTACCATGGTCCTGGTCAGGTAATCATGTCAACAATACATTGAAAGTTTCTTTCCTCAATCTTTTATGAGTTCTTCAAGCTAATGCTTTATTGTTTGGCACTGTAGCTTGTAATGTATCCTATAATCAATCTTCGAAACCACGAGATGGATCTTCATTGGTACCTCATGATGCTTGAAGAGATAGTCATCCGTGTGCTTTCCTCAAGTTTCTCCATCAAAGCTTCCCGTATTGATGGTTTAACTGGAGTTTGGGTCGGTAAGTCGCAGATCTCATCATTGTCCTTTCGATCTTTTTAGTGTGTTTCCATCTTCTTTGGATGATTTTATTCGTGAACTATAATCGATTTCGAGATTGATCTCTTTTTGTCTGCAAATGCTATACAGGCAACCAAAAAGTGGCGACAATAGGTATTCGTGTGTCAAAATGGATAACATATCATGGTCTAGCTCTTAATGTCACAACAGATCTAACACCATTCAACTGGATAGTTCCATGTGGGATTAGAGACCGACAAGTTGGAAGCATAAAGGGCTTGCTTGAAGATGGAGAACTCGGAAAGGTTGATGGTTTGAGGTTGACTGATGTAGCTCACGAGTCTTTACTTAAGGAATTCTCTGGAGTTTTCCAGCTTCAAATTGAAAAGCAAACATTTCCAGATCCTAGTATTCTGTAAGCTGAGCTTTTCAAACCGATGAGGTGCAATCTCTAAAACATTCTTGCAAGTCTTAAACATAAAAGGTTTTTATTGGCTGTTTGTGACATTGTCTGCTTCTTGTAGATGTTTGTGTAAGATTAGTTTCTCTACTTCTCTTCTGCACTATAATATTTGTGAGACAGTTTGAATAGAAGATTGTTTGAGTGGAGGATGATTGAAACCCAAGGCAATGAAACTGCTCACAAAGTGTGATAAAAGCCTGATAGAAACCCAGAAGTCAAGGATTTTGAAAGAAGGGTCTAAGACATTGCTGGTTTCTAATAACACATTTTGTCCCACTTTAGTATCTCTTTGGTAGTGAATAGTCATAGTAGCTGCGAAACCAAATGGTAACTGGTTAGGATGTCATCCTTCAAGCCCCTTAAGAATAGGCATAAACATAAGTTTTTGGGTCTGGAATTTCCAATAAGCATTCATGTGCGTGCTGCTGCTGCATGTAGTCATTTGTTGTGATTGAAGGCGAAGCCAATGCGTAAAAGTGAGAGGTAGCAGTTACAGTTATCCAGTAAATATGAATTCAAATCTGGATATTTCTGATTAAATGAGTTTGCTCAGTATAGAAATTTCTATAACTACCTGATATTTACTTAGATGTGTCTACCTGTCCTTTTGCAGTTTCCACAAGTTACCAGTTTGCTGATGGAGATCCATGTGCTAAGTATTACGATTATAGTATCCCTTTGCTGTCCATTTAGGTGATAGTAGAAGATTCTCCAATTGAAGTACAAGATTATGCTTTAGTGCATTGTGCAGTTAAGTATATAGTTATGTATTTGAGATTATATGATCCTAGTTAATGTTTCTGATATCAAAAGATTTGCAGACCATTTTAGCATTCTTGCCACTCTTTCCCTTTTCTTCAGTTTGATTTTTTGTTTTTTCCATTTCAATGTCCTTAGGCTTGGTTCCTTGGATCACAGGAATACGACAAGTAGCTGCGGTTCCAAATGTTTCCATCAAGGGATGTCGATCTAACTTGATGCTTTCACGCTATTCGGGTTAACACATAAGGAAAAAATAATATTAGAGCTTTAGCTAGCCTTGGATTGATCGAATGGTATCTTCAGAAACTGCGGTGGTTCGTACGCGTGTCTCAATTTGGGGAAAAAAACGGACATCTGACTTTTAATAAACTGTAAGTTCTTCCTCTCTTTTCACTTTCTTTTGCGGTGTCTCTCCTTTAAGAAACGTATGCTTGACAAAAAAAATTGGCTTTTGCCTTGTTAGTCGATCCCCGCTGATGCAACTCTCGAGGACTCTACTACGCTGGCACAATCGCAGTTTCACCATTGCCACGTGCTGTTGATAAACATCCGTGCCTCTCCATTTCATCTCCACCTGCTCCATAGTTCAAAAAAAATGTTCTTTCTGCTTTCGATACCCTTACTTTTCAGTTTCCATAGTCCCTTTACTTGTGCATAAATCTGTAAAACACTACTCTGAAACTTCTGCTTCTGTTAGGGACATAATGCCACCCTCTCCTCCTAAATCTCCTTTTATTAGGTCTTCACCCAAAGAAGCTCATGAAGATCGAAGATTTAAATGCTATAGGGGTGTCCGAAAGAGGGCGTGGGGCAAGTGGGTGTCTGAGATCAGAGTTCCAAAGACTGGAAAACGAATATGGCTAGGTTCATACGATGCTCCAGAGAAGGCAGCTCGAGCCTATGATGCTGCTTTGTTCTGCATTAGGGGTGAGAAGGGAGTTTTCAATTTTCCCACTGATAAAAAGCCGCAGCTTCCAGAAGGTTCTGTCCGGCCTCTGTCCAAGCATGACATACAAACAATATCAACAAACTATGCTTCATCAGTTGTGCATGTACCTTCCCATGCCACTACACTCCCGCTAGCAGCCCAGGTTCCCTCTGAAGTTTCTGCTTCCCCTGATGTATCTGCTTCTACTGAGATTACAGAGGTAGTCGATGAATATTATCTCCCAACCGATGCAACTGCAGAATCAATATTCTCAGTAGAAGACTTGCAACTTGAAAATTTCCTCATGATGGACATTGATTGGATAAACAATCTAGTCTGATGAGTAAACGACGGTTGCAGTTACATTTAGCTTTAATATGGTAACTACCAGTTACTCGTCTCTTTAGCTGCTTCTTGTAAGGCTATACTTGCATCCTTGTCTTTGAACTTGTTTCATTTAGCATGCAGTTTGTTGTTCTTGTTTTGCATGTGTATTCTCTTCTTTTTCCCCCCTCTGCTGGACCTCATTAGATGTTGAATATGAATGAAATGATTAGGAGTTGGCTTTGTTTCTATATCGTTCCAACATGATCTGCCTATACATCCCCAGTTACCAACCTCTACATAAACCATACATATCAGGCTTAGACTTGAAATCAGCTTGTGGCTATTATACAACATTATACCGGCATATACTTCTGCCAGGCTACACTGGTTGTTTTTATGGCTTCAAATGCATCTACTGTAATGGCGGAAATTTATAGGAATGAAGATGGAAGAAGCAGATAATGTCATTGCATTAGATAAGTTCGAGAAAACTCAAAACACCAAGAAAAAGAACCAAAATATAGGTGATAATACAACAAAATGATCTTGATCAAAAGGGACATAGAAAGTAACATTTATTCCTAATCCATGTCCCTTTTGATATTGAAACATGAGCTACGGAAATAAAAATTCCTCTTCTTCCCCCATCATGCTTCGGTCAACCTACTTGTTATTTCTGGGTGTCAGTTCTTCAACCAAGTCACTCATCTCAACAACATCATGACATGGCAAAACCTTAAAACAATCTCCATGCCGGCTTCTTTTGAAAGGTCCGAGCTCTTTATTATCAGGCCACAGAAATTGGATAAACACACGAAGTTTATGGGAAAAACATCCCTTATGTCAGTTTTGGTTGGCAAAGTCTCAACCAAGCCTCTGTAAGCCGTTTGGATTCCAGTTCTGCGGTGCTTTTCCTAAGTTGCTCAAGTTCCATAATCACCAATACTGACTGTGAATATCAGTAAGAAAGATATTGCATGGTAGTGTGTGCTAATGTACTCCTGCAAGAAAGAGATAAACAGCACTGATGAACTCAAGGTTCTGATGATACAACAAAAATAAATTACACTACCTTGAGGCATTAAAATTTGCAGGTTTCATTTATGGTATTTCTTTCAGATCCATATTTAGAGAAGTATCACAACAAAATATCACTTAGCAAAGGCTCAGTTCAGTTTGTGAAATGGAGATGTAGCAAAGCAGAGCACATCATAAACTCGTGAAACGATCATGCTGGCATCCCTCAGAGATAGGTCCAATCAATAACAGAAGCATAGATTAGAATCTGTGGCCATGTAGAATTCCTTGTAGATCATATTTCAGCAAATATTTACGAACTATTCATTACTTCAGTTGTTGGAACATTCTGCAGCAGTGATGCTGCAATTGAAATGCAGAAAGAGAACAGTGCTTAGATACAATCTTCATATAGGCCGCCACTATTTTCCTTGGTAATCGGCAATCTGTAGTTCAGATTTCAATTTTACTGAATCCATAGCATTTTTTCAGTAGCCGACTTTGCATAATCCTCCTCACTTCTTCTGCAGCATGAAAGTTACCAGATTCTGTGTGAACCTTGCTAAGCAATATGTAATTTGCTGGATTGTCAGGTTCAGATTTCACTAGCTCGTCTGCTATAATTTTTCCTGCAACATCAAGTCTGCCATGAGTCTCGCAAGCAGATAGCAGAGAACTCCATATTTTTGCACTTGGTTTCATCGGCATATTTATTGTGACCTTGAAGGCATCGTCAATCTTCCCAAACCTGCCAAGAAGATTGATATAGCAAGCATAATGCTCCAATGAGACTGGCATGTGGTATTTCCCAGCTTGTGTGAATATGGTTTGAGCTTCTTCTACTAGGCCAGCATGGCTGCAAGCCGATAAAACTGTAAGAAATGCCATTCCATCTACTTGATGTCCACCTTTTATCATCCCTTGAAAGATTTCTAAAGCTTCTGAACCATGTCCATGAAGACCGTATGCATTAATCATTGAGCTCCATGACACGAGATCTTTCTCATTAAGTTCATAATACACTTCACGCGCTGCACGGAGACTGCCACACTTTGCATACATATCTATGATAGCGTTTCCCACTAAGATATGTGACATGAAGCCAGATTTCAGGATTTGAGAATGGATTGTAGATGCAAAAGTCAACGATGCCGAATGGGTGCAAGCTGAGACAACAGCCAACAGAGTAACCGAGTTGGGTTCACTTCCTTCTTTTCTCATTTGACTTAACAGATTCATAGCTTCAGAGAAATCTCCAGTCTCCGCATAGCCGCTAATCATTGAACTCCACATTACAACATCTCTCACTTTTGATGTACTGAAAAGTAGCCTAGAGAGACTTACATTACCGCATCTGCAGTACATGGTCATAAGAGACGCTGTTAACCGATCCTCAGAATGGAATCCATAACGAAAAGAAAATCCATGAATCTCCTTCAACAGCCTTAAGCCAGAACCCAATTCTACACATGCAGGTAAAACAGACAACACTGTGACACGATTGGGAATCAATTTTTCTCTCTGCATTGCTCGAAACATTTCAATGCCCATTTCATAATTATGATTTGCAACACAACCGGAGATCATGGCAGTCCATGAGACCTCATTCTTGACCTTCATTTGATCAAACACATGGAAGGACGCTGCATGGTCATCAAACTTGAAGTACATATCAACCAATGCTGTTGATAAGAGAACAGATCCCTGCATCCTTTCATCGACAAGAACAAGAGCATGAAGCATTCGTGCTACCTTACTGTTGCTTTCCACGCGAGTGCAGAGAGCCAATAGAGATGCAACCAACTCGGACTTGGGAACAAGACCATCAAAGTACATCTCCTTAAGCAAATTCAGTGCTTCAGGCAACAACCCATCCTGGCAATAACGAGTGACGATGGAGCAGTAGCTAATGGTGTCTCTTTGAAGCATTTCATCGAATACCTTATGTGCGGAGTATGTGCTAGAGAATTTGGCATACAAAGAGATGAGAGAATTAGAAATAACGGTATCACGATCAGCGCCTGACTTGAAACAAAGGCAGTGAAGCTGTGTGCCAAGTAAGAAGGGCTCTTGTTGAAAAGAGCAAGCTTTGATGACAGAGGGAAGAATAGCTGTGAAGCCATTGGTGCCTAAAGGATGAATATCTAGCTTGTACAGTCTCAACGCTTCATCGTGGAGTTGTTCTGACACTAATCCCTTGAGCTTATTGCCGAGCTCCAAGTTTTGGCGGGAATAGAAAATTCTCGTCATAAGACTGTTACGATTACGAACGAACGTGCCATAACAAAATACGATATCTAACCACTGTTCACACGCAGGGTTGTGTAACCTGCTTTATTACCAGTGAAATAACTAATTCGTGTTTGTGTTCTCTGAAGTCAACAAGCACCCATGGCCTAATGGATAAGGCGCTTGACTTCTAATCAAGCGATTGTGGGTTCGAGTCCCACTGGGTGTGTATTGTTTTTTAATTTTCTTTTATTTTTTGTCGTTCAAGCCCAATAAAGTTAAAAGATAATGGGCTAGTAATGGGTCGAGGAATTGAGACAGAAGCACGTGGAGATCACGTGCGTGGACGTCGAGGTGGGGGTGTACCGGTGGATCTCGAATTTCTCCCCTCCCTCTCCCCCTTTCTTTCTCTTTGGCTTCTCGAAGGAGAAGAAAACTGTCGGACGGAGAGAGAGAGACGAAGCCAATCATCATCGCCACTTGTTCTGCTCTTTGAGATATTCAAAATCCTCCGTCTCTAGATAATTCCAGATCAAGAGGATCGTCATCAGGCAAGTGGGCGATTCTCGGATCCCGAGTCAAACAAATTCTGGTTTCTTAAGTCTCCTCAGGTTCTGATGATTATCGATTGTTTGATTTCGCAGCTGTTTCGTTAGTGGTGGTGGGAAGGTGATAGGATATGGCGCAGGAGCAGGGAGATGCGGTGGTTGAGAGCGTCGAGCCGAATGGTTCCGCTGCTGCTGCCGTTGCCGCAACTGCAACCCCTGATAGCGTGAAGAAGAAGCAAAAGGGGTTCTTTTCGCGTTTATGGAATGGGATATTCAGGGTTAGAGGCGACGATTTCGAGAAGAGACTTCAATACATCTCAAGGGAAGAAGCGACTGTCTTATCAAGGATGAAGCGTAGATCGATTACATGGAGAAAACTCACGAGAAATCTCATTGTTTCTTCTGTATTATTCGAGGTCGGAAACTATGTCTCCAGTGTATTGTGAATTCTAATGTTTTAGTTAGTGTGTGGTGAAATAGATTGTGATCATTTTTATATATATGTTTCCTTTCAGATTATTGCTGTGGGTTATGCCATTGTGACAACCAGAACGGAAGATTTGGATTGGAGAATGAGGAGTTTCCGGATATTGCCAATGTTTCTCCTACCTGCTCTGTCTGCTCTTGCTTATTCCTCTATCGTCAGCTTCTCTAAGATGTGTGAGTCTTGTGTTTTTCCTTCCTTTATATGCTCAATTTCATGGTTATATGTTGTTGTTTTCTCTTAGCTTCAGTGTTTCTTATCGTCTCTCTGTGTCAAAATGGTTATATAGTTGACCGCAGAGATCAAAAGACCTTGGAAAAGCTTCGAGCTGAAAGGTTGGCTAAAATCAATGAGCTTAAAGAGAGGACCAATTATTACACTACACAGCAACTTATTCAGGTGAGGTACTAGTCTTGTTTTGAACGTAGAGAATTTGTGATGGCGATTATGATAAGTACTAAAAATTCTTCCAATGATTTATCATTTGGTTAGCGAGTGACTATTTGTTAGAAGATTGTTGTCCATATTTTTGGGATAATAGCGATTATGAATAGAAATTTGGAATCTTAGGATGGTAGTTGGAATCTTAGCGTGGGAGTTGGAATCCATTGTATTTAATGCCACTATGAAATGCATCCATGCCCGGTATATAGCAATAGAAATACATAAAGTTGTTTTTTTCTAAAGTATGTCTAGTAGGTGTGGCATAGCCATGCAATATGTTCAATAACTCGAAAGAAAGATCAATGAATGCCACTGTGACTTGAAAAGGTTAGAGCTGGTGCTAACATAAGCGTTTTGATGCAGAGATATGACCCGGACCCAGCTGCAAAGGCAGCTGCTGCAACTGTCCTGGCATCCAAGTTGGGTGCCGATTCAGGATTAAAAGTATTTCTAGGAGATGAATCCCAACTCGATCCATCCTCGGGCAAGAGCAATGATATGGAGGTTAACCAATCACGTGGGTTGAGGAATCGAAGACAACCAAAAACTAGAACCCACGGTTCTGGGAGCACTTCAGCACATCATTCTGATGATGAGTCTCACCATTCCGGAACAAGCGAGAAATTTCCAGGCACCACAGAGCAAAACCAGCAGATGTTGGTTGAGCATTACAGTCCGCAGGGTTATGCTGCTCATGATGGCAGTTGGATCTCACGCATTGCGGCGCTCCTCGTGGGAGAAGATCCCACACAATCATTTGCACTCATTTGTGGAAATTGTCATATGCATAACGGTGAATATATATTAAAGCATCAGTGTTCACCTGTTTCTTCTACTAAATACTTGTTTTTAAAATAATTTTGCAATGTGTTTTATAATTGCTCAGGACTTGCTAGGAAAGAGGATTTTGCATACATAACATACTATTGCCCTCATTGCAACGCTCTGAACAAACCAAAGCATTCTGAGGAGAATGCACTTCTTCCTGCTGTTACAGCTTCACCGATCACAGACTCCATGCCATTGATTGAAACCAGCGAAGTGGTTAATAGCAGCAGCTCGAGCAGTGAACGTGGAAATAGTCCCACTCCAGAAATAAAAGAAGAAGCTACAATTACTGAGACTGGGACACCAAGCTGAGGAAGACAAAGACCCAGTGAGCTGAAGAAGAAGGCTTTCTTGTATTGGTGCTACAGAAAAGAGATTGTGTGTGCGTGTGTTTGTGGATGTGAGTACTCGTTCAGGTAAATTTATGCTATGAATTACTAATATCTGAAGCTGCTTACAGTTTTGATTCTGGTCTGTTTCTATACGACAAGACGATAGGGTTTTGGTGGGTAAATATGCGATTATCGTTGACGATGATTGTTATACGTTTTGGGGGTTTAAATCTTCTTACTTCTCTTCTCTTTACCTTTACATATCTTCTCTGTTTTTGTTAATGTGTTCACTCTTGAAAGTTGAAATCATTTTCGATTTTAATATTACAAGCCTAAAGTTTCCTCATGTTAGTTTATTTCTTTTAAAATTGAAAACAATTATTTTGTACCCAACTCTGCTTTTCAACTTTTTTTTTTTTTAATGTTTTGAATTTTATGAGTTCATGATAATATGAATATGACTTTTGCAAGAAACTGAATTTGAAAGAGTGCTTTTTATCTTTCTTTTGTTATAATTTATCTAATATCTTTGCAAAAGAATTTATGAAACTCCACTTTAAAGACTTTCAACCATATTTAAACCAGTAAAGGAGAAGCTTTCCGCCATACAAGTTGATCTAATCAAGAAGAGAGGTAAGAATAAAATATGCAAAGATGAAGACCATTATCCCAAGGAATCTTATCGTCTGTCTCCACTTACAAGGGCAATCTGCTTTATGGTAATGAAGAAACTCAGGAAGATCAAATTTGCTAGAGTAAAGAAACATGAGCTGCGAAAATACAAATTGCTCTTTCTTCTTGAATCTCGTCATGCTGCTACTTTTGCTCATTTTTAATTATGCTGATCTCGCTGCTTCAGTCTCTTGTCAAAGGGACTGTAGAGGTATCGCTATCCCGTACCCTTTCGGAATCGGAAAAGATTGCTATCTCGAGAAGTATTACGAAATTGAATGTCGTAATACAACTTCAAGAAAGCTTGTCCCTTTCCTTTCTGTAATTGACAAAGAAGTTGTGAGTATCTCTCTTCCGAGTGCACAAAGTTATTTTGCTTATGAAGTATCTAATTTAGATCGTCATCAATCTATTGGGTTAGTTCGTGTCAAATTCCCGATTACGTCCGCAGGATGTTTCACTGATGAGAAAGAGTCTGACGGATCAAAAATGAACTTCACGGGTAGCCCTTTCTTCATTGACAGCACAAACAACCTCATAGCGGCTGGTTGCAACAGCAAAGTGTCATTGATGTATATAAAGCCGAACATGGTAGGATGCGAGTTGAGTTGCAATACAAACAACGACTCACATAGCAATAATACAAGCAAAGACTCGCATAGCAATAGCATCCCTTTTGTCGAATCAGGGTGCTCGAGCAACGTTTTATCCTATTCTCAGGATCAAGACTGTACTGAAATGAAGCCAGAAGAAGCAGAATGCAGTGGTAACGGATGTTGCCAGGCAAGACTACCTAACGAGCCTCAACAAGTTATTGGTATCAGAACAGAGAGCAATGATGGAAACTCGACAACCAAAGTGCAGTGTACAGTTGCTTTCTTAACGGATGAAATCTACACTTTGTCGAACGCGACCAAAACAGAACAGTTACTTGCTAAGCGATATGCTACGGTTAGTCTAGGATGGGTAATCCAGACGAAAAATCATTATTTCCTGAACTCCTTGGCCTGCAAACACAGAGAATATAACCACAGTACAGCGTACTCTGCTGAACCTGAAAAAAAGTGTACATGCGCCAGAAGCACTATATCTGAGATAAGTTATGCAAATTGTGGATGCACCTATGGTTACACAGGTAACCCATATATTTTGGACGGATGCAAAGGTAAGTGTATCTTTTCATCTTTATAAAAATCATCTCAATGTTATAATTATTAAGTTTTGTTACATCATTTGATTATAAGATGCCGTCTTTTGAATTTAGATATTGATGAATGTAAAGTCAAATTCCAATACTGTAAAGAGACAGACACTTGCGTGAATTTCCAGGGAGGGTATCGCTGTGTGGGAGATAAGACTAAAGCAATAATGATAGGTAACGCAAATATAAATCTCTTATGAAGCGAGTGAAGACCAAATAATATTCTTGTACGTTTTTGCAGGAGCGGGTGCGGGTTTTGGGGTCTTAGTCCTAGTGGGTGGAGTATGGTGGCTGAGAAAGTTTTTAATAAAGAGAAGGATGACAAAGAGGAAGAAGAAGTTCTTCAAACGTAACGGGGGACTACTATTGCAACAAGAATTGAATACAAGACAAGGCAATGTCGAAAAGACGAGAGTCTTCAACTCGAGAGAGCTAGAGAAAGCCACCGAGAACTTCAGCGAAAACAGAGTTCTTGGACATGGGGGTCAAGGTACTGTGTACAAAGGTATGCTCGTAGATGGTAGAACTGTTGCAGTCAAGAAATCCAAAGTTATAGATGAGGACAAACTACAAGAGTTCATCAACGAGGTCGTGATTCTCTCCCAAATAAACCATAGACACGTCGTCAAACTCTTGGGATGTTGTCTTGAGACAGAAGTTCCGATTCTGGTTTACGAGTTTATCATCAATGGAAACCTCTTCCAGCATATCCATGAAGAGTCTGATGATTACACTATGATATGGGGAATGCGTCTACGCATTGCTGTGGATATGGCAGGAGCTCTTTCATATCTTCATTCTGCTGCATCTTCTCCAATTTATCATAGAGATATCAAGTCAACAAACATATTACTAGACGAAAAGTACCGAGCCAAGGTGGCTGATTTTGGAACATCAAGGTCAGTCACCATAGATCAAACTCATTGGACAACGATCATTTCAGGTACGGTTGGGTATGTGGATCCAGAGTATTACCGGTCCAGCCAGTATACTGAAAAGAGTGATGTTTATAGCTTTGGAGTCGTTCTAGCAGAACTTATTACTGGAAATAAGCCTGTCATAACGGTACAAAGCAGTCAAGAAATAGTAGCCTTGGCAGAGCATTTCAGACTTGCCATGAAAGAGAAGAGACTTTCTGATATCGTTGATGTTAGAATAAGAGATGATAGCAAACCGGAACAAGTTATGGCAGTGGCAAAGGTGGCGATGAAGTGTTTGAGCTCAAAAGGAAAGAAACGTCCGAATATGAGACAAGTTTTTACGGAGCTGGAAAGGATCTGTACTTCTCCTGAGGATTCACAGGTGCAAAATCGGACTGACGAAGAAGAGGAAGAAGAAGAAGGAGAAGAAGAAGAAGTTGTGACAATAATAAACAGAGGCGATTCTTGGAGCATTGGTGTTACTGCTCCAGCCTCTAGTATTGTGGCTTCACCTCCTTCTTCAGATGTTGAACCATTGTTTCCTCGTCTCACATGGTGACACTGTCGGATCTTAAGAGTATGGTGAACAAATGTGATGTATCTGATTAAAACGTTTGTGTGTATAGATTTGTAACCCATTTGTATTGTTGTAAGTCTTGAGTTAGTAGTTGTACTATAGACTTGTGTTTTGAGATTTATAATATAGCTTTTTTTTTTTTGTAAATTAATCGTGAAATTTACTGTGTAATCGAGAAACACACGTGGAAGAGCATTAACGTTATGTGTCTTGTTCAGAGCACATCCATCAATGGCGGATAGAGTTTTATGGGTCACAAACGGAGAGGAATCACCTCGTTTACTAACCCTTGTGTGCACGACGATGATCGTGCAAGAGCGAAGCGATAAGTCTTTTCCTGTAGCACGAATCAACTTTTCATAAGATTTAGGGTTCCTTGTCCTTTTGGCTCCTTTAAGGGTCATAGAGAAATGGATATTAATGGGATTACCAACGGATGGAGAACTTCTGCAACTTTAGAAAGCCATGGATCTTTCCTGGGTTTGCCTAGATCCTACCCTAACACCATCCCCAGGTCTTTAAACTTTTTTGGTTTATCTTCTTTTTTTTTTTTTGGTTTAGTGTGAATTGATAGGTCAAGAACTCTGTTTCAGGGAGAGAATTCATATGGGTAATGTTCATAGTGGCAAAAGAGCTTTGGTGATTTCTAATTCAAAGCAAGCGAATCTCTCTGCTTCCTCCAAGCAGAGAATCAAGCTACAGATTAATGGAGTAAAGGAGCTTACTTTCAGTGAGTTCCTGAAACACCCATCTGGCATGGAGGCTGTAATCAACGCTAAGGCTTTGCAGAGTTATCATCTAGTTGAGGATAGTGATAATACTTACAGGTTCTTTCTTTAACCCAAGATTATCGATGTTCATAGGACACTGAAAGTTTCTCTCATACTTGTCTGGCTTTAAGGTCTTTGCATATGTTTTAGGATCTTCATTGCTTTAACTGTTATATGTAGCCTCTTTTAGTTTTCTAGGGGGAAACTCTTAGAGAGGAAATGTTATATTCGTAAGTACAAGCATCTATAAAGAGTGTCTCTCTAAATATAGACATTTCCAAATCACAAGCTTGTGAGATGTTTTCTCATCTGTTAGAAGACATATATGGGAATATTCTTTATCTGGAAAGGGAGATAGTAAATCTTTGTCTTACAGTGCAGATGTACATTGCCAAAAGTTCAGTTAATGAGCTTTGAAGTTTCTCCAGTTCTGGTTTTGAGGGTCACTCCCACACAGGAAGACTGTACAGTTGAGCTGCTTTCCTGTAAGGTTGGATGAAGAAGATTTCCCACTGTTCTGATTTACCTGATATTCTTTTGTTTTCGTTTTCCTTGTACCCACGAATTTTTTGAACCGCTGTCTTGCAGTTGGAGGGGTCAGAGTTGTTGGAGAGCCAAAGTGAAAGGTTTTCAGGTAACTTTCGTCTTGTGAACAAAAGCACTTGATACAATCCCTTCAAAACTAAGGTTTCTAAAGTAGAACAAGTGTTTCCCTATTGCTCGTTCGCAGCAAATATGACAAATTGCATGACTTGGAACATGGAGGATCCAGACCCATTTTTGGAGGTTGACGTGAGATTGAATGTCACTCTAGAGGTAGTGTACTGCAGTTCAATTTCTTTCATTTTTTTCGTAGCTTCATACTCATGCAGTTTTAAATAGCCTTAAGAGTATCAAATGCTGCACTGCACAGTGATGGTCTTCAGTGATCAATCATTGTGTGGATCAGTCATGTAGACTTACTACTTATGACTTTGTGTATATGAACAAGTTTTATTTCCGCTGCCCTTGTTCATGCAGATCTCAACTCGACCATTCACTATGCTTCCTGTATCAGCTGTTGAGGCTCCTGGGAATCTGTAAGTGTACATTATTGTTCACTTTACCTTTATCCTACTTCTGGCTCGAATTGACGAACAATGTTATATTTTGATATGCTTATTGCAGAGTAATGCAGACTCTAGTAGATACACTGGTTCCCCTTCTGCTTCAGCAATTACTTAAAGATTACGATGATTGGATTCAAAAACAGCAAAGGAACTCCTTAAACGCAACTTCTTAATGTTTTTGGCCGTTTGGGATGACAGCAATACAGCATGTATTAGAGATAGCTCTGTGTTAGAAGTTAAACAAAATTACTGCAAAAAAATACAAACATTTAAAAGGTCAAAAGAGATTTGATTCACTTGTAAACTCTGACCATTTGAGATGACATGCGTGTTTATAGAGCAATGAAATTACTGAAAAGCACAATAAATATAAGGTCGGAAGAGATTTGATTCACTCGTAAACTTTGGTCTTTCTTGTGGCACAAAAATACAGCACAATAAGGTTACATAACTTTTTCATCATCAGTCAAAGTTGCTCTAATCCTAGAGGCCAACCCAGTACGAACGGCCATTGGTGTTATGCATCGGAGATGGAGTAGGTGAAGACACCGACCATTCGTACCAAACCTGAACCCAAACATCAGAGGATCAATAATAGTTCTTTAGACAAAGAGAATTAGCTGTGTGGATTCTTTGTGGTTTCAATATTTTTTTTTTACCTTTGAGGAACCACAACATCTCCAAAAGTGCACTTCTAATGGAGTATCAGGGTGAACCTCCACAGGCTTCCTCAATGGGAAAAAGATTGGGAACCTGCCAGAAGGAACACAATATTATCTTGATTAAAGTAAGAGGTTCAATAGAAGAGAGTGAATCACATGTTAAACACCATTTATAAACATTAAGCTATTACCAGCTGAACATGTTCGGTGTTGCTGTTGTAGGCTCAATCCCAAGATGGACATCTTTATAAAGGACAGAATCAAAATAGCCAGCGAATCCTGTTTTTGTTGAGTTATGTATATGATCGCAAGAGATTCAGTTTCGGCTTACGATACATAGAGATTATAAATCCCATTAGCAAGCAAAAAAAGACTTAGAAAAAAGTTTGTACCATGCACCAAAGCTGAGCCAGCGTTGCTTGGTAGATTGAACTGAAGCTTCTTGTAGCGTTGGTTGTTGGCTTTTGTTGAGAAGTTTGGATGAGTAAATGTGAAAACCTATATAAGACCAAACCAAAACTCCTTGGATAGAGAGATCGCAAGACTTGCAGAAATGTATTCAAAGAGAACTCTTAAGTTATTAGACTATGCTGGATAGAGAAAGAGACTCACGGATTGGGAAGGAGCAAGTTTTGCTACACTATGCAGCTTGACAACATAAGCAGTTTCGAAGTGGGCAAGATCTTTATGAGCCTTAACCTGCCAAGTAGATGAAAAAGGCTTGAGTTTATCTGCCAATTCTTGTGAATAAGAGCACGTAGCAAAAAGCAGAAAAACCTACATCATTGTAAAGCTTAGAAGCTGTTACAGGCTGTATGAAACTTGTATACCTGAAAAGGTAATAATAATGTTCCTCCTCCAGTTAGAGAAACAAAATGACAAATGAGTTTCTTATGGAAATTCAACTAAGCAAAGGAGTACACATACGAGGATGGTATTGAAATTCCGTCAGGCTTCAGGAACCTTTGGGCTCCATCGAGACACTCAGGAGAAAGTTCATTGTCTCCAAAAGAACCCAGAAGCTCGCTAACCTGTATAGAAGGGGCAAACAAGAATTAGATGAACTGTATAATGTCGACATGAGTCTTAGCTACAATAATCTGCACATACTAACCAATATATCAGCTTGCTCAGGAGCATTCCAAAAACGCATGTCACAGGATATTATCGTAACAATGTCTTCCCAACCTTCCATCTTAACCAAACTCTGTTAGAAAGGATAACAATACTCTTTGAGTTAATTATAAACTACACCGCACGTCCTAAAGAAATTATGATAAAAAATAAAATAACCATGTTTAAATTAACTTGTTGCTGACAACTCACATGGAGTGTTACAACTGCATTAGGATTCTTTTCCACAGCATAAACTTTCAACTTCCGACCAGTTTCTTCAGCTGCCTGGGAAAGGTAACCAATGAACACAATACATTAAGAAAACAATTACATTTCAAAGTCTCCTAGTTATCAGCATGGAATTGCATCAGGGCTTACCTGTAACGATGCCCGCACAAGGGGTCCTCTTCCTGCCCCCACAACCATCAAGACCTAAAAACTAAATCTTTATTCCTACTGAAGTATTTCACAAGCATACCAGAAACAAATCTATAAAATGAAAATGCCACTTCGTAAGCAAAACAGTAACACATGACATACAGTAGTCAACTCGGATGCTTTTTCATCAGGTACCCTGTCCACCAATGCTTTCTCGACTGCTCTTTGATACTAACAACACAAAGATGGACAAAATTTAAGCACGTTTTTAAAAAATCAACTACACTGATTCTCGGTATAATATTCAATTGTTCAGCATGATTCATCCATCAATCCACTCTCTTCTCCAAACCAAAGCAGATAGGAAAAGGGTTGGGAAACCCAAAGGTGTTCGAATTAAAGATGAAAGAGGGGAAACTAGCATATTAAACATACTTGGATGTATTTAACAGAGTCTCTCTCAAACGTCTCATAGGTTTGGGCTTCAAGGTTGTCCATGAGAGGCTGTATTCATTTTATAAAAAAAACAGTAGGGGCTCTTTACGGTAAGAATAGAACATTTTCATATAAGGTAAATTATTATGATGAACGAACAAAAATCAGAGTTACTTATGAAAAGAGGCTAACCTGCAGGGGTGCCTGCAAAAAATCCCTGTAGCCCAGCTGTAAAAAGAGTAAGATAACTGTCAGAATTGAGTTGTACCTGCCTGCGTGCATATCTAGTGATAAAAAAACATAGAGGAACTGAGACAAAAGGATCCAAGAAACGACCTCGATGCGTTCTTGCTCAGGAAGAGATTCCATCTTTTGGAACAGATAAGCAACATAGTCCAGATATGTCCGCAGAGGATGCTTTTCTGTACCTGACAAACAATGCCCACAATAAACTATTTAGCTCAAAACGTGGAGTCAACTATGATTATAAAAAATGCCTGTAATAAATTGAGCAAAAGAAAACAATCCCAGAGGATACTAGCTAACTGTCAGCAGACAAGATTTTATACAGAAAAATTACCCTCGGTATTAGAATCATGAGACTTTTGAAGATTATGAACAGGCTTTCCAGAAATTACAACCTGCATTTACAACATTGATGATAATGAACCCCTGGTCGAGTAATAGATCTATTCTGTGAATCAAAATAGTATTTGCATTTAGTGTTCAATATCATAAAGAGTGGGATGTTTCTTACTTGGGCAGCATGATCAAAAAATCCTGCTATTAACTTTTGGTGGCGTTTTGACAAGCAAGGATAACCCCGAGCATTTGTTAGGAAAGACTGCAAAACAAAACAGAAGCATGTTGTGATTCACAGGACTTCAAAGTCGACTTTTTAACAATGAGGCAAAAAGTCAGGCACTTACATCAGTGCTTACTATGGCTGCTCTCACAGACTCTCCCATCCAGCGTCCTAGTGAAGTTTCAGAGGGTAGTGTATTCCTAGATAAAGGATATGGTGTTATGTTTGAAGGTTGGATAATTTTGTGTCCATACTAACAAATATAGTCAAGAGTTGCTCTCAACTCACAGAACATCAAGAGCAACGGACAGCTTACTGTCATGCTCACAAAGAAGACGAAACGAATTCCACAGCTCCCAGGAATCATTCTGCATAGAAGAGAGTAAATATTAAAACGATCCTAACACAAAGCCTACAAAAATGTGAACAGATAGAAACATTCATTTGTATATTTAGGTTTAAGAGGCCTATTAACACAGGCAAGATCAAGTGATCCCAAAGGCTCCCCGCTAGGAGTCCCCGAAAAATCTGAGAATGCACAATAAATACTATCAATCTTAAGTTGGCATCAAATTTGATCCTACGTCTTACCCGTCCCTCTGAGGTATCATCCATTGAATCACCATCAGACTTCACCAGTGGAACCCTCAGCCATAACTTCAGCGCAGAATGACATTTAAACAAAACAAAGAAGAAGCAATCAAATGTTGGAGCTTGACTGAAGGTGCTCTTGTATAGAAACGTCTCATCTCAATAAAGCTAGATAGACACAAGAAATTCGTAAATCACCTGCAAGGTTGTCAGCCCTTGTAAAATCTGGTTCACACATCTGGCATAATTGGCGCACGATTTTCCTTTCGGAGTGGGAAGAAGACATGCCTGCGACATATAACAGACATTAGCAAGAGAAATTCTCCTCAAGCATAACAATCTAAAACTGCAAAACGAAATCACAGAAAGAGACAATAGGATGTGAGTTAAACCCATAGATTAACAAGCACCTGTAAGGAGAGATGTGTAGCCCAGGCTATTTCTTGCTTCAGTGTGGTTTCAGAATCCATCCGCAAGACCTCATCTTCAGAATCCAAGTCAATCCACGAACTAATTTTTCCTAGAGAATGAAAATTTACCACTAATATGAAAACCCACCATTCATAACCAGCACAAAAGCACACAAGGGAGAGGCAAAGAGAATCATACCAACAACATGACTGCTCCATTGAGAAGGTGACAAGACTAAGTCAGAGCCAGAGACTGGAAGAACCTGAGTATCTACACCATTTCCTTCCACTAAGCTCGGCCTATATGAAGGGTTCATCTGCAGTAAGAAAAAAAGAAGTAAACTCCATTAAAGATATAAAATTTCGAGGAGAGGAAGAGAGATTTGGAGGAAGAAAGAAACAAACCAGAGGAGCGAGGACATAGTCAAAACCGCCGGTGGAAATGTTGAAGTTGAGAAGATGAGTAACATCGTTGGAGAAATCCGTCTCAACGCCGCAGTACCTGGACTCGCTCCTTTCCCATCCTGCTCTCTCTCCGAGCGGCATCTCTTCGTCTCCCTTCTCTCTCTACTGAGCTCGCTCACAAGGAGTGAAGGAATTTAAGATGCAAGTGAATATTTTTTTCTCGAGCCGACGACGACGGAGACGAAGAAAGGGTTTTTGACAGGGTTTAATTTTACTGATGTGCAGTTCATATCGGGCTTTCTAATGGGCTTCCAGATTGCTATACCTAGGCCCATTTATACCGTCCCAAGCTTCAACTATTGATTCTATGGTTTTTGACAATGGCATAATGCAATCAATGATCAATGTGTTACCAGTTACCACCTGAATTCAAGCTACCTAGCATATTGCAGTAGCATGTGCTTAGAAAGAATGTTGAATAGAGTAATTTCAAGTGTTTTTCCATAGAAAATATTGTCAGAGCAACAGTCAATAGTTATAACGAAAATGATGATTTAATCTGAGTAAATATATACAACTTAAGAATCACAAAGCATCGAGGTGCTCGGATGGAATTCATAACGTTTCAGCAAATCATTAGAAAAAGGAAGAATGCGTAAGAAACCAGAAGAAAGAAATGATCATTCCCTAAGAAAACAAGTAGAAAAACAAATTATAACCCCTTCTTATACCCAATGCCAATACCATTCTCTCAAGCATCAATCTTCAGATTCACATCCCTGGAGGAGGAGTTTCCATCGACGTTGTTGTTTTCAACTTCATCAAAATGGTCTTCACGGGCGTTGTCAGCAAGCATCAGAGCAACCAGCCAGAAAAGGCACGAATCCAATGACACAAAGGCACCTCCACCAAGCAGACCGGTCTTGGCAGTGGGGCAGCTGGTCTCTAAGTTCCGGTGAACATTACGGGTCAAGTGAAGATGCTCTGTAATGGTTGGCCAGAGCAGCAGAGACAAGGCCAGTCCAGATGTTATCCTACAAGACAAAACCAGATGTTATCATACGAATTTATTATACCCGGAATAAAACAAAACTGGACACCACCAAATATGTGTTGGTGAAAAAGAAAAATGAGATTGAACAGGTGAGGATGTGCTTACAAGGCAATGTTGAAGAACACAGAGAAGCTGGTGCTTTTGAACAAGGCAGAGTTAGGAACAGACTTGCCCTTGTAAGAGATGAACAAGGATTTGTAACCTGCTACAGTGCAGGCAAGGAGAAAGGCAGCAGAGAGGTATCCCAAAGCAACAGTCGGATCAGATGGATATTTGCAGATAACTACTCCCTTTCCACTTATTGGAGTCCCAGACGCAGGCTAAGGTGAAAACAACAAAGAAGAGAAACAAATCACACAATCAATAACAAATTGAATAAGAGAGCCACTTGTAACTATATGAAAAGCTCTTGATATTCAATCCTCCTGCAGAGATCAGTAACAATGATGAGCTCAAACAATTGTGTATAAATTTAGCAATGGTTTCAGTAGACCATCAAAGTTAACAACTAAGAGTCGGGTCGGGTTCTCCATCATTAGATAGAATAATCATGGAGCTGTGACAAAGAGAAGTGCACAAGATAACTGTTTCAAACAAGTCCCAAAATGTCAGAGTCATTGTTCCTGTGACTTCAAACAAATCTAATATTCTCCATTCAGACCAAAGTTAGTACAAACATCAACCAAAAACTATGAACAAGAAGAGACAAATAATCCAAGAGGCTATGAAAAAAAAAACTTAAAACAGTTGGTTGCACCATCGTTTGAAAAAAATGAAGCTGTAACAAAGGTAGTGCAGAAGAAGATTCACTCTATGATAGATACAAGTCCAAAATCTCATAACAACCAAAATCATCGAAAAACATAGATGAAACCAACTAGTATGAACACAAAATTCAAGGTTGTTGACTTTTTTTTGGGGTACAATTTTACCTTCTTGTTCTCAGCGATGACTCCCAAAACAAACGAGACAACGCCAAAGGCAGAGACGATCAACGACATCTGTTTCATACTAACCGTCATATTTGTTATCTCTTCTTGTCCTCTGTGTAACCTATATAATCCGAGATCACAACAAAGATATATATATTAAGAAAATTAGGATCCCCAGAAACAAACACAGTTTGGGGAACAGAAGAAACACTCACCGAGACGAGACGACGATGAATCTGGAGAGTTGTTGTGGCGGCTTCACCGAGGAGAGATCGGAGGATAAGGTTTTGGTTGTTTGTTTTGATTTGGTTTACTTTAATTGATTAGAACCCACTTATGTATTTGACCCAGTCGCACTGATAATTCGGAAAGATCCCCTCTCTAATTAAAAGGTCTCCGCGTTCACGGAGTCTCTCTTCTCTTGTTTTAAGATTCTGTTGACCTTGCTTGATTAAAGATTCGATTTTTATCTTCTCTCTTTTTTTTGGGTTACATGTATAATTTGTATTGATCGTCTTATTTAAGAAAATGAAAAACAAAATCTACGAAATAGATATATTTTTAAACAGATTTACTTCCGGCTCACTACACTAATCTGAATATAGCGATATATATTATAACTTATCAAATTAAAAAAAAAAAAAATTCGAAATTTTTTTCTTATCAGAGATTATCTTTCCACATTACCACATTGTAGATAGATAATTTACCCCAAAAAAAAAAAAATTTGTTAATGGATTTACCAATATTATTAGTTTTTTTATGGACATCTAGTTATTTTCATAATCTGTTAACAATTTTTTTTTTTTTTTAAACTTATTATTTCTTTTTGAAAATCACACACATATCTTATACACTAAAGACGAAATGGTAGTTATATGAGATCAGATTATATATTTGCTCCAATTCTTAATCTCTTGATCGAATCTAGCAGTTGTTTGTTTCTAAGATACTCTCCATTTTTTGTTTTTGTCTTTTTTTGAATTGGTACTCCACTCCTTGCTTTCGGGAAGAATTGAGCGTATTTGGTTGAATGTGCCCAAATGATGAGATGATATGATATGATTATTCTTACCTTTGAATATGTGTAACTCTAGAAAAGTGTAGATATCTCTTTCTATTTAATAATGTTATCCGGTCGGTGAAAGATCGTGAAATGACACACAAAAGTTACACAAATTATAAAGACCAAAACTGGCCACGCTCTCTAGTCTCTCCTCGACCTTTACTTGTCCTTATCACTTGCCTTTAGTTGATTTCATTTTTAATAGTGATGCTTCTCTCTATTGGTGTATATAATCAAATCAAATCAAACCAACCGATCACTTTCTCTTTTCAGTTTTTCACTATCTAATCATTCCAGTTTTTGTTTACAAAACGGGCTTTTGTTGTCTGATGTCTCCCTGGAAAGATGACAGCTCTCCCACTTTCATCTTTACATTTTAGTATAAGTTTAAAGTTTAAACCAAAGATTACGAGTGGATAAAATGTTTTTGGTTTGACTTATTTGGTTATAGATTGATCACAAAATATTCCACTGTTGAATCTTTATTGAGTTATACGATCGACTTGAGTAGCAGGATTTGTTTACACGTGTGAGCATAGAAAACTTTACTTGATCAAAGAAATAAAAGACTTTTTTTTTTTTTTTAAGTGTTGGGTGACTGATAGTTATGTAATGTTGTTGAGAAAGAAGAAAAAGTCATTGCAGAATCAGTGAATACATGTTCTACCATTGGACAATTTTTGGGTTTAGAGTAAGAACAATGCAGAGTTCTATTCAAAAAACGTGGGAAAACTATTCATTACCTTCTCGACATGGGAAACTTAACAAACAGAGAAACGCAAGCTTTTTTAAAAATTTGAGTGGATGTCCAAGTCATTTTAGATTTGTTGTTTAGTGCTTCAATATTTTTCCATATCCTTTAACAACTAAAAAAGAAAAAAGATTTTAGAAACAGATCATTCTTAAGTTTTTTTTTTTTTTTTTTTTGGACATTCTTAAGTTTTTTTTATAAAGGAATTAAAAAATACATGATAAAGTTTACAAAAATAAAAGTGGGCCGAAGATGGGCTCAACAATAGAGAAACGAGAGCGGCCCTTTAAGGTGAGAAGTAATAAATGGTTCTACACCAACCGTACCTGCCGACCTCTTTCAATCCCCTGTTTCATCACACTATTCCTTTCACACAAAAATTGGGGAAAAAAAAAAACATTTAATTTCTGCATTCTAACTTTAATTCTGATGAGAGAGCATCATCAACATAACACTGCTCCCCAATCTTTCAAAGATTCCCTCCTTTTTATTTTAACACCTAAGCTTGACCTCACCCACATGTCCCTGCCTCACATCATACCCATCTTTTATTTCGCATTATAACAGTAACTACAAAATATGACAAAGTTGGTAAACCCAAAATCTTCAGATAATAGATGTTATTAATATGTCTACTTGGTTGATTAAACTTTTAAGGAATATTTTTTTTTAAAAAATTATATCATATGATAGCCGTTTCGTATAAAATTAAGTACGTTTGAGTGGTATTGTGAAGAAGCTACAGCTACGAAGTAGCCCCAACACCTAACAGAAATTTTAAAACATTAATGTTTCTCTTTTTAGTCTTGTTCTTCTTTTTAATTATTGATTTGTTTTCGTTAATATTCTGCTAATTTATTTAGTTATATCGTAAATTTGGGGTACCAATCAAAAAGCATACACCGCCTTTCAGACATTGGGACAGACAATAAAAAAGCCATTTTCGTTTATGTTCGATGTCTGAAAATAAGGAAATTAACAAAAACATTCTCAAGTCTCGTCTATGTTTCAATCTTATTTATTATTTCCTTCAACTCTCTCTTCCTCCTTCTTCTTCTTCTCCTATGAGAACAACTTTAATAAAAGCAATAAGTGATATAGGAGCGTATTTGATGTTTTCGATACTCGGTTGATTGAAGTAAAGCCAAACCTCAGCTGTGTGTGTTCTTCTTCAACCCGAAGTTTCATACTTCACCGTTTCTTACATCTGAGCTCCTTTTAACCAGAGAGTTCAGATTTTATTTTTAGTTATTTTTGGTTGTAGGGTGTTTTACGAATTACGATTCATCATCTCTCGGTTCCGATGTTGTCCAGAGGTGTTTTTGCTGTCTTTTTCGTAATCACTTTTCTGTACGGAAGCTTTTTGATTGAAGTTGAAGGGATTGGTGTGAACTGGGGCTCACAGGCGAGGCATCCGCTTCCTCCTGCTACGGTTGTGAGACTTCTCCGGGAAAACGGTATCCAAAAGGTGAAACTTTTCGAGGCCGACTCTTCGATCCTCAAAGCTTTAAGCCGCACAGGGATTCAGGTTATGGTCGGCATCCCTAACGACTTACTTGCTCCTATAGCCGGAAGCGTTGCAGCCGCCGAGAGGTGGGTCTCTCAGAATGTCTCTGCTCATGTCTCCTCCAATGGCGTCGATATCAGGTTTGTGCTTTTTATCTCTCATTGAAATGTTACCTTCTCTCTTTGTTTGTGTTTACTACTAAGAGCTTTGGAAGATGTTCAAGATATTATTGTAGAACCTTAAGTTTCCATCTTTAGACTTTGATTACAGTTGATGAGCAAAAAATAGAAACTTTGAGAATGAAGTTACAAAATGTGTGGATTTGTGTTTATATTTCAGGTATGTGGCAGTTGGGAATGAGCCTTTCCTAAAGGCATTCAACGGAACATTTGAGAGCATAACTCTTCCTGCTCTTCAGAACATACAATCAGCTATCATCAAAGCCGGTTTAGCTACTCAGGTGAAAGTCACAGTGCCTCTTAACGCGGATGTGTACCAAAGTGCGTCTAATCTCCCTTCGGATGGAGACTTCAGGCCTGAAATCCGAGATCTCATGTTGAACATTGTCAAGTTTCTGAGTGATAACCAAGCACCCTTCACTATCAACATTTACCCTTTCATCAGTCTCTACAACGATCCCAATTTCCCTGTGGAGTTCGCTTTCTTTGATGGAACAGGTACTCCTATAAACGACAATGGAAGAATCTACGACAATGTTCTTGATGCAAACTACGATACACTCGTGTGGTCATTGCAGAAGAATGGATTTGGGAACCTGACAATTATAGTTGGGGAAGTTGGGTGGCCAACAGATGGAGATAAAAGTGCAAATATGTTGTATGCGAGGCGGTACAATCAAGGTTTTATGAACCGTCAAAAGGCTAATAAAGGAACACCTATGAGACCTGGGGCAATGGATGCTTACTTGTTTGGTCTTATTGATGAAGATGCTAAAAGCATTCAGCCTGGAAACTTTGAAAGACACTGGGGAATCTTTTTCATTGATGGACAGCCTAAGTATCAGCTCAGCCTTGGTAACGGTAACGGTCTGATCCCAGCAAAGGATGTGCACTATTTGGCAAAGAAATGGTGTATTCTTGCTCCAAATGCTAATCTTCAAGATCCTCAATTGGGACCAAGCGTGAGCTACGCTTGTGATCACGCGGATTGCACTAGTCTTGGATATGGCTCCTCTTGTGGTAGCTTGAATTTAGCACAGAATGTTTCGTATGCGTTCAATAGCTATTACCAGGTAAGTAATCAGCTCGACAGTGCGTGTAAGTTCCCCGGTCTCTCTATTATTACTAATAGGGATCCTTCTGTTGGGAGTTGCAAATTCAAGATAATGATTAAGTCAGATGATTCTAGTGAGGCAAGTACCATGATGCCCTTAACACGATCAACGGCAGTGTTGCTACTCTTCTGGATGTGTCTGTATATTGTTCTGTGAATACACTGAAGAAAATTTGATGGGTTTGATTATTTCTTTTTCCCTTTTTATTTTGCGAAACTTTGGTGTTTATGGAGAAACATAAAGATACAGTGGAATGTGAGATTTATGTCTCTTGTTTGATCTCTTATTTCTGGATAGCAGTTTGGTCTTCACTGTCTCTCTTTTGCCTCTTGTCAGTAATCATAGCTCATGACAAAAAATCTCATCTTTCACTATGGGAGTTAGCCGTTAAAGGCTCCAAACCCAAAGTTTCATATATCTTCAAACAACACAACCTTATTAGTCCAGCAGGTTTTGCTGCAAAAGAAGACTCCAGTTGCCGTTACTGCTGGGAATATGTTAACCATTAACAGGCTCTTAAGACAGAAAAGTTATGCTTTTTATTGAATGAGGACCAAGAGAAAATACCAAACCAAAGAACCAATGGTATTGTTGTGGAGAACCCCAAACACTCCCAAGTCCCAATATCCCAAAAGGACCCAAACAACTAAAAATAATACCAGGACCCTAGACCACTTTCCTATTCTTTCTATTTACTCCAAGATTACACCGTAAGCAAGCTTACATTCCAATATATTGGATACAACATTGATTATCTTTGTTTAGCTTGTAATCCTCGAGTCAGTGAGATAAATGAAGGAGAATATTAGGGCGGATCTTCAGTGACGTGAATCTGTCCATTGAAGTAAAAACTTCAGAGAGTTCTATGTAATTTGGAATACTGTTCAATGCCTTGTCCGAGAGATTAACGTTCAGTCTAGTAGACATAAAAAGGTTACCTGATCAGAACTTAAAAATTATGATAAGGGTTTGAACAGCGGAGGAAACATCAGAAGCTACCTGATCCGGTCATTGCAGTCCCGGTTCTTTGAAAAGGCTCAGTTTGATGCTTCTGGAAATATGCTCTTGATCTCATATCTGCCTGCGTATAGTAGTTTGTATACTTAACGACTCTTTCTTTCCACTTTTCACAAATCTACAGGATAATTATCTGTTGTTGGCATATCTAAATGCATTAATTACCTGTCTAATAGGTTCCGGAACACGATACTTGCAGGTCATCTTGACAATTGCAACGGCAGATTCAAGTGATATGCGATGGCCAACCGAAACATATATGGGCTTTAGAGAACTCAGAGTTGGCCTAAATCCCTGTTGAAAGTAAATTTTTGACTTTACAATTAAATTCACTTCCTTACAAAAGATGATCAAAACCACCATGGAGAAGTTTCTTTACTTAAAAGTGGTTTTATAACTACCAATAGAACGCAGTATAAACAAAAAGACACAACACATTGTTGACAGCAAACGATCAGGAAAAGTCACTTACTACTCCCCACGTAAATCCAGAGTTTCCTACCAAAGTGAAAACTTGCTCATGCTCGTTTTCTTTGAGCTGAAGCGACCGTCTCACCTCAGATTGATTCAGACCATCCACATGATGCAGCTGAAATGTTACAAATCAAATAGTCAACTTTAACAATAAATGCACATGTAGGAAAAGCAAAAACCGATGGCACCATAAGATAAACACCAGCAAAAACGGTTCCAAAGATTTTCTGAGAAGTTAGTACGTTTTTTCCGACCCCAATGGTAGGGAGATGAGCAAGGACACCTAAATGACACGCCAATCCAAATCCTAGAGCACAATTACGTCCAACACTATAGATTACATATCTTAGATGCAACTAAAAAACTAAGGTAAAGAGAAAAGCTTGTGTGTTTAGTACCTCGTGGATGAAGTATTCCATTTCCATCCACCATCAGTACCTTTGTAACACCAAAGTAAGAAACTTTTAGAAGAATTAAAAGCAAAAACTTAAGGCAACGCCAAAAGCAATGGTTTAAGAGTAGGCAATTGCAAACTACAGCAACTTATAGACAAAACCGAAACCTGAGGATAGAAAGGATGCTTATCATCTCTCATCTTTTGCAGAATCTGCAAGAGAACCGGAGCCTGCGTAACATAAAAACAAAAGAGAAATCCAATTTTGAGATTTGAGATACTTTAGTCAAGCAAATGAAAACAACAGAGCATTACGGGGACACGAAAAAATAGACGGGAACCTCACGAAAGGCAAGAAATCCAGGGACATAAGGAACATGAAGACGGAGAAGAGACAACTCATGGTGAACTACACGCAGAGAAGGTAGCTCGAGAACGACGAGACAAGCGCAGGCGACGGAAGAATCTTCCTTGGAAAAGCTCATGTCTACACCTCCAACGTACTTAAGCATCTCGGATCCCTGAGGCAGCTCCACTGATGAAGATAATTTCCATGAGAAGTCATCGTACGCGACCAGCTTCTTCTTCAGCTGATCCTGCTCTCTGAAAGAAATCAAACAGTTCCATGATCGACATGATTACCGGAAGTGAAATTAACATTAAGTGCGAACCTACTCTGCCCAGTTCTCGAGCTGGTTTCCAGACGAAGACTCGCTTAAAGCTTCTCCTCCATCCATTTCCAGAGAAGTTCAGTCGCCGGCGATGAAGATCCTCAATTCCTTCATAGTCGGAATAATGAAACGGCGTCGTAGTTTAAGTATGGGCCTCTTATGGGCCTATATTTTTAAAATATGGGTTAGGGTTTGTTTATTAGATAAACGGGTCGGGTCATAACTTAGTATGAGTCGGTTCACCTTTGTCGTCTCCATCTACCACCTCCTCCTTCTGCTGCGTTTCTCACTCTCTACAACTATAAGCTTTTTTCGTATTCCCCTTTCAATATTTTCGTTTTCTTTTTTTTTTTTCTTTTCTTTTCCGGGAACTACTAATTTCCGCGATCCCCGCGTCTGAATTGATCGTCGTATCTGGGTTTTTCATTGAAAAGAGAGGTAATTGATGGACGGGCAAGAGCATGCCGAAGTACCTCATCCGATGGTTATGGATGAACAATCGTTTGTTGTGGCGGAGGCGATTACAGAGTTGTCGAATTCAACCGGGGAAGCTGACCCCGGAGAAGGAGGACAACAGGAAGGAGGAGAAGAGAGTGTGGATGACAAACTAATAGCCGAGGCACAGCAGCATATGGACAATATTACTTCCGTTGCTAATAACCCTAATCCTAAATTCATTCACGCTCTTAGCCATCTCCTAGAATCTCAGGAGTCTCTGTATGTCCCTTTCTAGCTCAGCTATCAGTCCCTCTTCTTGATTTTGTGTTCGTTTTTGTAGTTTTCTTTAACTTACGCTTACTTGTATTCGCAGGTTCTTAGAGGAGAATGGACATTTCTCCAATGCTCGCGCTAGTCATAACAGTGGCAAGCTGTGTAATCTCATCCGAGTAAGTACTTTTAAAGATTGTTCAATTTTTTTTTTTTTTCATGGGTGGGTTCTTTCTTCTTATTTGGTTACTTGAATTTGGCAGGAAAATGATGAGTTTTTTGAGTTGATATCCTCAACTTTTCTATCTGAAAATGCTTACTCAACCGCTGTAAAGGCAGCCTCTGCAAGGTTGCTAATGAACTGTTCGCTTACTTGGATGGTATAAATTTACAAATTTCTTGCTCCTTACTCTTAGGTTTAGCTCGTTAGTTGGCTCATGACGCCATTCTGTTTTTCAGTATCCTCATGTTTTCGACGATGCTGTTACGGATAACTTTAAAAATTGGGTTATGGAAGAGGCAGTCAAGTTTCCTGGTGAAGACTCTGCCAGAAAGGAAGCCTCAGATTCCGAAATGTTAAAGACATATTCTACAGGCCTTCTTGCTCTCTCTCTGGTGAGGTATTGATTAAACATTCCCAACTTGTTGTCTCTTGTTTCCATTTTTGCAATTGATTTTTGGCGCCCACAGCTGATATAAACATATTTTCTTTTGGTCTGACTCATGTAAGTCGTGGGCAATTAGTTGAAGACGTGTTGACATCAGGACTATCTGCCAAGCTTATGCATTATCTTCGAGTACGAGTTATTGGAGAGCCAAGTACAAGCCGTAGAGATGCCCTTCACACAACTGAGACTAAGCACGTGTCCTTAAAAACAAAAGAAGGAAGTAGGGTGCGTAAAGTTGTGGATACAGTTGAAGGTGACCATATTCTTGAGATGGACTCTGGCAGAGAGACGGTACAATCTGATGTACGGTCTGATGGCGAACTTGAAACCGATGGCAGAGAAAGATTTAATGTTTCAGGTGTTGTTGATTCTAAAATGAAACCTATGGATGAAAATAGTGGTAGAGATGACCCTTCAAGACACAGACTGAATAGATCAAAGTCGAGGGGGAGAGGAAGGGTTAATGAAGGTGCAGCTGATACAGAAGGTCTCTTGACATCTCCTAGATCAGGTCGTCTAGTTGTCAGAGATAGGGAACTATCAAAATTTTCAGATGGCAGAAATGCCGAAGATGTGACCATATGTCTGGGGAAAATGAACACTGGTATTATGGAGATAGAAAGAGAGGATAATGATGAGTGCTTTCAAGGTTGCGTTATAGGAACCAAAAACATAACTGATTTAGTAAAGAGAGCAGTTGGAGCTGCTGAAACCGAAGCCAGAGCTGCCCATGCTCCTGATGACGCAGCTAAAGCAGCTGGCGATGCTGCAGCAGAGCTTGTTAAAACTGCTGCTTTGGAGGCATGCATTTTTTTTTTTCATTAACTGTTAGTGATTTCATTTCCTTAATAGAACTTTAATGTAGGTGACCTGATATTATATTGTTTATCTTTCTATCAATCATCCAGGAATTCAAGTCTTCTGGCAGTGAAGAAGCTGCTGTCTCTGCTGCTACTCGAGCAGCTATTACAGTCATAGATGCCGCTGAGGTTTCAAGGTCAGTCATGCTATGATGTCATGGATACTATCATTGCTGTTTATCAATTATTTATCTCTGGACTTTAACTTTTCTATTTGGTTTATGGTAGAAATCCTACTTGCGTCACATCTGATCAGACTACAGATTTAAATAATGTGGAAACACATGCAATTGCGGATGTCAGTGAAGTTTCACTTCCGGATATTGAATCGTTGGCCCAGTTACAAGAAAAGTATTGCATCCTGTGCCTTGAGATACTGGGAGAATATGTCGAGGTTCTCGGGCCTGTACTCCATGAAAAAGGTGTTGATGTATGCATTATGCTGCTGGAACGTACATCCCAATTTGATGGCAGTTCCACAGTTTCTCCTTTGTTACCTGATGTCATGAAGTTAATTTGTGCTTTGGCTGCACACCGGAAGTTTGCTGCGATGTTTGTTGACCGGGGTGGCATACAAAAATTACTTGCTGTTCCAAGGGTTTCTGAGACCTTTTATGGACTCTCATCTTGCTTATACACCATTGGCTCTCTTCAGGTAATAATAACAGCAAATTTCTACCACGTCTTCTGCAATTTTTGTTTACCTTTATCTTACAGATATCTGACGATCGCTGAATTAGTACAAAGTCTGCTTATTCTTACCTTCAATTTTTCTCAGGGTATAATGGAGCGTGTCTGTGCACTTCCATCAGATCTCATACATCAAGTTGTTAAATTAGCCATTGAACTTCTCGACTGTTCTCAGGATCAAGCCAGAAAGAATTCAGCATTATTCTTTGCTGCTGCTTTTGTCTTCAGAGCCATTTTAGATGCATTTGATGCTCATGATAGTTTGCAGAAACTCCTTGCAATTCTTAAAGATGCAGCCTCAGTTAGAACTGGTGCTAACTCTGACCGATCAGCTCCTGAAGTCATGACCTCCTCAGAGAAACAGATGGCTTTTCACACTTGTTTTGCTTTGCGCCAATATTTTAGAGCTCATCTTCTTTTGCTTGTTGATTCAATCCGTCCTAGCAGAAGTAGCCGAGGTGGTGTGCGAAATGTCCCTAATATAAGGGCAGCCTATAAGCCCCTTGACATCAGCAATGAAGCTGTTGATGCCATCTTCCTTCAGTTACAGAAGGATAGGAAGTTGGGTCCGACCTTTGTGAGAACTCAGTGGCCTGCTGTCAATAACTTCTTGGCCTCCTCTGGACATGTTACCATGTTGGAACTATGTCAGGTAATGTAGCATTTTACTCTCCTCATATACTTTGTTGTCTACAATATATTAACATTATGGTCATATGCACAGACTCCACCAGTAGACCGTTATCTGCATGATCTGCTTCAGTATGCTTTTGGTGTTCTTCACATAGTCACATCAATACCTGATGGCCGCAAAGCAATTGCGCATGCCACACTCAGTAACAATCGTGCTGGCATTGCTGTCATTCTGGATGCAGCAAATATTTCCAACAGTATAGTAGACCCTGAGGTCAGTAGTCCACTTCTATCCATTATTCACATAGGTTTTGTCTTGCCTCTTCTGCTTCTCATTGATACTTGCCTTCTTCATGTTTTCTTTGTGATTGAAGATCATACAGCCTGCACTAAATGTCCTAATCAATCTGGTGTGCCCACCACCATCATTAAGCAATAAGCCACTGCTTGCACAAAATCATCAACCTGTTCCGGGTCAAGCCACTGCCCGTCCCTCTACTGATGGTTCTCTAGGTACTCAGTCCACTGGTAATGCTCCGCAAACTCCTGTTGCACCAGCGTCTTCAGGTTTGGTTGGGGATCGAAGAATTTTCTTAGGAGCAGGAACTGGTTCTGCTGGCCTTGCTGCCAAGTTGGAGCAGGTTTATCGTCAAGCCCGTGAAGCTGTTCGTGGAAATGATGGTATAAAAATTCTCTTAAAACTTCTTCAGCCCAGAATATATGTGAATCCCCCTGCTACCCCAGATTGTCTACGAGCCCTGGCTTGCAGGGTACTTCTTGGTTTAGCTAGAGATGATACAATTGCACAAATACTGACTAAACTTGAGGTAGAATAACAATTTTCTATCCCGGTTATCTTCATTTTCTTTTATATCTGAGATACATCTGATGAAGCTGAGCAGGCATCATTGATGATAGATACTTACTTTCCAAGCTTGGTTTTTAGGTTGGAAAGAGTTTATCAGAACTAATTCGGGATTCAGGTGGTCAGTCGAGTGGCACAGATCAGGGCAGATGGCAAGCTGAACTTGCTCAGGTGGCGCTTGAGCTAATAGGGGTAATCATCTATATATTAATATGTTTTACTTGTTTAATGTGTCGCTATGGGATTCTTTTTGTGCTTCGTAAGTAATTAGTGTTTATTTTATTCCTTGTTTCTCTGTTGAAGTGTTGTAGACATTTTTTAATTGGGTTATATATGTGTTACAGATAGTGACAAATTCAGGGCATGCAACTACACTAACAGCCAGTGATGCTGCTACTCCAACACTGAGGCGCATTGAGAGAGCTGCCATTGCAGCTGCAACGCCTATAACTTATGATTCGAAGGAGCTTTTACTCCTTATCCATGAGCACCTCCAGGCATCAGGTCTTGGTGAAACTGCTACAGCTCTACTAAAAGAGGCTCAATTAACTCCTCTACCTTCATTGGCTTCTCCTTCTTCTATTGCATATTCCTCTACGCAGGAGATGTCTACGCCGCTAGCTCAGGAACAATGGCCCTCTGGCCGAGCTAACAGTGGATTTTTCACCAGCAAGCCCAAAGTTTGTACATATGAAGA